AGGGTTAGAATTAAGATTTATGGTTTTCATCACGAACTGACGTCAGCTTAAATGTCAAGACGCCATTTGAACAGATGCGTGAGTGAATTTCACGCCGAAATCCAAGACCTATTATCCTAAGTCTGATTGGTTCGTCCGTAAATTGTAGTCTCGTCGATACGACTAAAGCAATGAATGAGTTCCATTGGCTCACTCGTTCATTATTTGGAGTGATCATTCGGTTATATGGTTTGTGTACAAAGTATTCAGCAAAAATATTGATTATATTCTAACATTTTCCTGAAGTTGTAGTAGCAATATGCTGAGCAATGTCAATTCGTTGAAGCGGTATTGCCATAAAATATATTAGTTGCTGCAAAAATGACAAAAAGTGAAAATCCCAACGTAAATTAGTAAAGGATTGATAAATAAGTACGGTAGTAAGATGCATTAGAGGGTTGAAGGAACTCAATTCAACCACCAATGATTTAGGTCCTGCTAGAAACTTCTATACATCCTTTTATCAACGACAGTGCCCCCAAACGCCCTGGTACGGCCGAGAGTGGGGAAAGTCCGCTCTCCCTCTCGAAATGCTCTCACATGGCCATGCGTATATAGCCTCTGCCAGGGAAGTCCTACTCACTGCCTTCTCGTGGCGGGGGTGTTGTTTACAAAAATGAGAGGACGAAAAGCGAATGTCTGGCGCTTTAACCGGACCCCAAACCAATGGTGCACATGGGCTCCAGTATCCTGCGGGAACAAATGGCGTATGAACCAATCGTTGGTCACCGGCTACCATGGGACTGCATCTCCTCACGATGCTCCACTGCTTTGTGGATCAGATCTTCAGGTCAAAGGCTCGGGGTGTGGTCCCCTAAGAAAACCACCTGGTTCGGTTTGGGCACCCGGGCAGTATCATAGCCCTCACATATATCCAATGAGATCTGTGTGGCGCATATGTATTTGGTGCCTCCCTGTACCTATACTTATGTGTTAAAATAAAATAATAAAATAAAATAAAATCAACGACAGTGTGCGGAACAGATACAAAAATCCAGATAGTTGTGTATCAAATTAAGATGATCGAATTCCATGATCACCTAAAGTATACTTGATCTTCAGAAGTGCTATTTATGTCGATACATCAGTATTATGGTGACAGAAAGTTGAAAACCAAAAGGTAGAAAATGTGGCTCCTGGGGATGTGGTACTACATATAGTGGACAATTTCTACTCACCAAGCATTTTGATTTTTTCTCACATCTTTTAAAAACCTTGATATGTTCAGTTATTTTCATTTCCAAACCTTTGAAAATCTCATGTTACTAAAATAAACTCTAATAATAATCCCAATCAGTGGTTGAATGACCTAGGTAACATGGCTCAAAATAAATGACAGTGGTGCTATTGTATTCAGTCTTTATCTCCCTATAGATTTCGAGTTTGATATTACACAGATTTCATTCTTTTGCCTGACTCCTCATCTTTGGTTTATATTTTTTGTATTCGGTTTTTCACCCCAATTGATACAATTAGGGACGTTTATTTTTTTGTCTTGTTAATATTGTCTTACTGTGATATGAAATATGATAACTTACAGTGGTGTGAAATCACACAGTGTGGGGCGGTATTAATGGTTTTTGAATTGGTCAAATTTACTTGGTAGTCTATTAGTATTGACTGCTGTGTAAGGTTTAGCAACATCAGCGGACGAACATCTGTTCCAGGTTCTATGTTGATGATGTCTGTCCTAACTGATGTGATATTTTCTCTCTGATGTCAAATGCAGTCGTACATTAACGTTTCATTTGCATGTATCAAAGCATGACCCACTGGCCAATGCTCACATAACAATTTCGGTAACTAAGTTTCTGGTGTACATTTACAATTCGATTGTAATTTAGGATGGGTGAATTATAGTCCCATAGTGATCCTATTGATAATCCGAAATTAATATGGTTGTTAAACTATTTTTCGCTTAACTACGTATGAAATCTTGAATATACTCTCGTTCTACCCTTAATATCACTATTTCTCAATCTTCGAATGATGTACGTTCCCATCTGACTTCCTAGTTATGTTAGCAATTGATTAATATTTCCTGAATCTAAACTGCGATTGCGTCACAGACGTGTTTATTTGGTAGCTGTCTTCCCGTCCTTAGGGACTATAGTTTTAAACTAATCTTCGTCTACTTTAGTTTAGTTAACAAACACTAAATACCATGGTACGGCCGAGAGTGGAATCAGCTCTTCCGCTCAAAATGCTCTCACATGACCACGTGTATATAGCCATTTCCAGGGAAGTCCTACTCACTGCATTCTTGCGGCACTACTGTTGTTTACGAAACTGGGATGATGAAAAGCGAATGTCCGATGCTCTAACCGGGTCGGTGGATACGAAGGACCCACCCAGGGGAGTTGGAAAACCTTGACTCAAAACCAATAGTGCACACGGGATCAAGGATTCTGAAGGAACAAATGGCGTATAAACCTATTGTTGGCCACCGGCTACAGTGGGACTACATTTCCTCATATTGCTCGATTGCTTTGCTGATGAGACCTTTAGGTCAAAGGCCCCCCTAAGAAAATCACGTGCTTCACTCTGGGAGCCCAGGCAATATTCCAGCCCTCACACAAATCCAATTTGTGTGGTGCATATCTATTTGGTGCTTCCTTGTACAAATGTTTATGTGTTTAGATAAATTAAATAAAGTTAGTTAACGAATAAATAAATAATAAGTTAACGAATAACACTTAGACACTGTATGAACATTATCCATAGGAGGAATTTAAATATTCACATAGTGTTGTGCCTGGTGTTTCCCGATTTGGAAACAATCTCTTGTGGTTATTCCTATTGTTTGATTCAAAGAATGCTATTAACTTAAAGATCCTTATTCCAGGTTTAAATTTTTTTTGTCATTGTATTTTTTTGAGTTTGTTACTAGTAAGGTCAATTTTAACCGGAATATGTAACGCTATTCAAACTTGTTCTTCTTAGGTTTTACTGGTCAGCACTTTCTTTTAGATGGCTTTTTCTTGTAACCTTGATTTTAGTTGCCTTTCTTCGGTTGAAACTTTTGGTAAATAGATCATGTCTTGACATTTCTTGCTATTCACCTGCTTATTTTAATTATCATCTACTGATATATTTGCAATCCTAAATGCTGTTAGTTTGCGTAAATTGTCCTTTAAAATATTTTGTCATATGGTTGTGATCTGCTTTATTTAGTCTAATTATCCTGATCATATGCCTATCACATTAAATAATGGATTTGAATAACTTTCACCACTGTCTTGTACTTCTTTTCAATTTCTGAGTTTTGTAAGAGCGTTTTTCCGTTGCATGCTGCTTGCCATGATATTTACGTTTTAGCTACTATCTTTATTCGATTATCATTTCGTCTTTCCCTTTAAAAACATTTGAACATTTAACTAAATATCTTTCAGTAAAAACTATTCTTTACTGCTCAGTGTATAAAATAATTAACAAAAAGCGATTAATGAGGAAACATAGGAGTTGGTTTTGACATTCTAATAATTTACACGACTACATTGTTTATCAACTTTATGGCACTTCCTACGACTTTGTTCATTATATTCATAATTCTTTATTGTTTCAAGTCCGAATGTTTCATAGAGTTCACAGGATGTTTATTGTTCAACGTATATCAAATATACATTCCTGTCAATTGGTTAATAAACTTCTCATTAATTCCTGTTTATGAAGGTGTTCAAATCGTCTGTTTATGTAGTTCCAGACATTACATAAGGCGGGTCTTCCCTCTTGTTTACTTCTATGTCTAAAAGCCTTATTTCGGAACAGAAATTAGTGGTTTGATGCATTAAACGCGTTTTCCTCATGTCTCTATAATTTTTACGGAAGAATAATTACAGAATGATTTCTATTCAATCCGAAACAGCATGGGACTAAACGTAGTTTTTTGACTGTCAAAGTTATACTTTAAACCATAAATATAGAAGGAAATATGAATTACAAACTGAAAGGTGAATAGATAATGGATAAGTAGTTCTCAGATGATTCCTAAATTCGTCCTAAATTGAACTTGAAATGGTGGCAAACAGACAGAACTGTAGAACATTACAACAACAAGAATTCATGTTACGTTAATTTTTAAGTTTTGGTTGAAAGTATATTTAAGAGAAGTGCGCAGAAACTAGTTGCTAAGTATGGTAGATATCTACCACATTATAGACTGACTGTCTGAAGAGTATATGGTCAAACGTCTGAAGACCATTTTCCATAGGAATCTTTCTCTTCAATAGAGGACTAGACTTTTAAGGTAATATTTAAACCCCATTACATGCTACAATTTCTGATTCAAATATATAACATGTTTCTAGAGTTACATAAATAACAAATGCACCCTTATTGGTATCCAGATTACATGATTATCTGTAAATAAATATCTCTTCTAACTTTTTTAGAATAAATATCGTGCTTCGAATTTTGAACTTTTGATTTCTTCCTGATGTGTATGATTTTACCAATGCATGATTCATGCTATAAGTATATTTTATACTAAATTGTACCACATGTTTAACTCCAGTTGCTATCAAACTACCTGCACATTAATTGGTCGCCTGAACATTGTACATGCTTATCGTTGTGTGCCTCATGGTTCTTTTTTACTTGGTTTCTTAGTTGTCCGCACAAATTAAATCTTTTCAAATCTTTCGTTATTCTGGTTGGATAATGATTTTCGGTGGATTAGTTTTTATATTCCCCACAGGATGATTTTCTATCTTATGAAATATATGTTTTTCAATTAACACACGTCATTCAGCCAAAAGACTTCCATACCTTATTCTTTTTCCTGTTTGGCAAAATTCATAGGATGAATTCATCTTCGGCTGTTGTTTTCCTCTGAAGCTGAACAACTAGGATTATTGTTTATTTGATGTTGAACTTTTATCATGGTCCATCTTTCTGTTTGGCTTGAATTCTGTATAGTGTGATCTAATGTTTCACGCTTCACGTTTTACGCGTCGGTGGTAATGGATTATTCGTGTGGACTCGGTCCTCATTTAAGTGGGTCACTCAAACGAAGCAACAATCCTCGACGTTCTATTTCTTCATCAAAATATATTGGGGGAATTGACTGGCGTAAGTTTGTAAAATTCTTACTTCATTGCACTCATTAGATTTCTTGTTATTTCTCACTATTCTTTGCATGTGTTTGAGTTTCCGCTAATCATGCACATGTGTCGTTTTACTCTAAACGAAATGTGATTTCGAAAATTAAGTTTTCAAGTTGCCTGGTTTCTATGTACCGAAGGTTTAACTGTTTCATGCCTTCTATTCATTTCTTTATCTTAATTTGGTTTCTGTTTTTTTTTGATGATTTCGTCTTTTGTGTACGGGTAAACTGAAATGCTTTGAGAAATGTAGAACTTCTATATTTTCTAACCTTACAGTGTCGTTTTTAAGAATGACTTACTTTGTTAAACGAATATTAGTTTTATTTTTTCAGGTTCAGTATTCATTTGACAGTACAGGTGCAGGTGTCTTGTTTGTAATATAGAAACTAATAATAATTAACTTCTGTACAGTAAGTTTTGTCCGAACTCAGCTTCGGTGCAACGAATGAGTTTCTTCCTTACCTTCCGGAACATACTGTTGACCTATAATTTTCACTCTCCAATTTAATTTGTTTCTTTTACTTGTCTCTTCTTTTCTATTACTACCTACTGTAATATTTTCATCCTTTTGTTTTCTCTCTTCCTATGATGATATAAAATGTAGCGATTTGAACTTACAGGAATTCGTACTAAGTCCTGTTTTTTTATGTTCATCTTTTTCCTGATTTAACTTGTTGCTTTTGGTTCTGACTAGATAACGTTTGACTGGCCAAGCTACGACTTAAATTTTTCCTAGCAATTAGTACAGTCTTTTATTCTGCTTTCATTCATTCTGTCGTTGTAATTTATGTTGTACATGTGATCATGGTTACTGATTGGTGAAGTGATATTTACTTATCTTGCTTAGTGCATATTTTCCAAATAACATGGTTTGTAAGTAAAACTGTTTTGCTCTGTAAATGGACTATATTCGCGGATAAAGAATATCAACCGTAAAGTACTGTATATTCCACGCATTCAGTAGTTGAACCTTATCGATTATGGATATCCTAAATGATGTTGAGTAATTTGAGTACTGTATGATTCACTTTAATCACAGACTGGAATGCTCATTTCATCAATACTTTCAAGTTAACGTGGAAATACACTGTACTGATGAACCCATCTACAATGTTATGGAGTTAGTTTTTATTCAAATCAGATGTTGTTATGATGTACAGAAGTACTAGACTGACACCGCCCGAAATTTATTCCAAATTATTTTGATTTCAGAAAAATACACAAACTTAAATTACTAACTAAAATATAATTTAATAATATTACTTAATTCTTTCATGAAAGTAAGCATTTGATTTGGGCAGTTCAGTATTGTTCGAATGTATGAAGTTAGTTGAACTCAATTCTTGTCAGTCTTCATTTTCATAGATTATTTTACAATTTCAGTATGACTGTTTAAAAATTGATGTTTGGACGAATATATATATTGATCGTTAACATTTCTCCTAAACTGAAGATTTTTGCTCATCAAATTATGGTATATAGATACTTCGGCTTTGGAAAATGGGTAGTGTCGTTAGCTCTTACTCCTAAAGTGTGGCTCATACATAAGAACCTGGTGAATAAGCTAATCTTTTTCCCTTCTTATATATTTATGGGACCCACCATGATTGAACTACTGAAGTACTTTGATCGGTTTATATCAAGAAATAACTATCTTTAGTCAAACTGACGTCGCAGTCGTATTTTCCTTTTATTCTTAGAATGATTATATGATACCAATGCATTTTCCCGACCGTAGCTGCTACCTTGACGTGGTGGTCGGGCTTGCCTATCGTGATGACTCAACCGAGCTATATTGGCTGGAACACATGTTCCTGCAGGTTCTATCATGCCAGGCAGGTCGATTGGAGAACGGTAAGACTAAAAGCAGCAACTCAAGGTCTGAGGGCGAAGTCGTACTGCTGACTGTACAGAGGTGTGACAGCAGTAAGGTGTTTCCCTCGGACAACCAGCATCTGCAGCGATGCTGCCTTCTCACAAGGAAGGAAGGGGTTAGAAAAGGTTGATCCTAAAAATGTCACACCTCACCTTACCTCACGGATTTCCGTCTCCGGCGGTAAGGCCGTTTGAAGAACGGAGCTAACACATTAAAAACCTCCCACAAAAAGGCTGTGCGCGACCGGCCTCAAGCAGTTGTCCCTTGGGCTCTGCGGTCACGCAACCAGGTCGTTAAGACCAACACTAATCCGATTTCCTTTTCAGGTTCCTCAAGAAATACCCTTCCACGGTGTGGGCGACCGGGAAGTGATATCAGCCCTCATACCCGTAACAGCACACGAGACCAAGTTGGTCACATTCAAATCCTTCCTACACCTCCTAATAACTCTCTTATCTCCACGACTAACCCTTCTTACGTCCCTTTATCACCTCGCCCCGCTAGTGCGAACGATTCGAGTACGCGGAATGTTATTCCTGGTCTCCTGAAACCACGCTCCAAACTACACGTAGGAGCTTTCAACGTCCGAACACTGTGCCAAGTAGGACAACAGGCTTCCTTGGCTAGGACTTTAGAATCTCGCTCCATCGATGTGTGCTGCGTCTCCGAAACGCGCACACAGGATCCTAGTAGTGTCGTTCATTTGACCTCACCATATCAAAGTAACGAACCAACTCGATTTACGCTTCGTGTATCTGGAAGCCCTGATGCTGCTTCCCGTGGCCTCGCTGGCGTAGGTATAGCATTGAGTCCTAGGGCAGAACTAGCTCTCTTAGACTGGATCCCAGTAGACAGTCGTTTGTGCGCTGTCCGACTTAATGGAACAGTAAGGACTCGAAAAGATAGGGACACTCGTCGTTGCCTCTTCGTCGTCTCTGCCTACTCTCCCACTGACCGCAGCTCAGATAATGTAAAAGATGAGTTTTACAGAAAGCTTTCCGACCTTCTCCGAAAAGCTAGGCGTTCAGATGTAGTAATAGTGGCTGATGACTTGAATGCTCAAGTAGGTAAATTAAGCGAATATGGGAAGACACCTGGCTGGATCTTATGGTGTCGCGGCTCAAAGAACAGATAATGACGACCATCTGTTACAGCTATGCTCATATAACCGCCTGTTTCTTGCAAACACTAACTCTAAGCATAAGGAAAAACATCTTTTCACATGGCGACGCCCGAATTCGTCCCAACGCTGGACCCAAATAGATCACATCGCTATCAGCCACCGATGGAGGGGCTCGATTGAAGACTGTCGCTCATTCTGAAGCACATGCTTAGACTCAGATCATGCTCTGGTGCGAGCACGTATTTGTCTACGTCTTACTGGACGTAGGAAACATGCTGCAAGGAAACCCCTTAGGGTTCTACTTAATGATAGTCAAGCTAAGAGTATATTTCAGGGACAACTAGAAAAACAGTTAGGCAGCCATGTAAGTGACGCCCACCCCGAGGCAGCGTGGAATGACATCCGAAAAGCTGTAGAAACAGCAATGTTATCTGCAAGTACGGTAAACCATAAGGTTAGGGAGAAACACTGGATCTCAGCAGTATCTACCGCACTGATAGATGCTCGAAAACTCATTCCATCTGGCTCTGAACATAACGAAGAGCGGAGTCAGCTTAAGCGTAAGCTGACTAGAACAGTGGTGGGTAGCGAAAGCAAGAGAGACGGAAAAGGCAGTGGCAATAGGTAACAGCAGGCAACTGTTCAGACTTGTTAAGGAAACCGATATTAGGAATCCAACTGTTAGCGGAAAAATCTCAGAGAAAGATGGACATATTATTCATTCTCAATCCAGGAGACTGGATCTATGGGCAGAACACTTTAGGGATCAGTTCAACTGGCCTTCAGCCACACTTCGGTTTCCCACGATCTCCAGTCGACCTGAATAGCAAGTTGATGTAAATCCTCCAACTCTTTACGAAGTTGAAAAAGCTATGGGAAATCTGAAGCGTGGGAGAGCAGCAGGTCCTGACAGGTTTACCCCTGAGATTTTTAAGGATGGTGGTCCAGTATTAGCAGTGAGATTGACTGACGTCTTAGGTAGAATCTGGGAACTGGATGTAATCCCATCTGACTGGTCTGAATCACTGATTGTGCCAGTCTATAAGAAAAGACAAAAGTCTTCTTGTGACAATCACAGAGGTATTGGTTTGACTAATATAGTGTCTAAAATATTAGCTTCAATAATACTTCGACGCCTGACGAAAGCTCGCGAAGAGCAGACTAGAGAAAACCAGGCTGGTTTTCGATCTGGACGTGGTTGTATAGATCAGATATTCACACTACGTCAGTTCCTAGAACATAGACACACATTCAGACGCCCCACAATAGTAGTATTTCTCGACCTTAAGGCGGCATTTGACTCAGTTGATCGTGAGGTTCTATGGCAGTGTTTGTCACTGAAGGGAGTACCAAAGAAGTACATTAACCTTATAATGGCTCTCTACTCGAACACAACTGGTCGAGTGAGAGCTTATGGCGAACTGTCATCAGAATTGATTGCCTCAAGTGGTGTTCGTCAGGGCTGTCAGCTCTCTCCATTCTTGTTTAACTTTATCATTGAAGTGCTTTTAGAGATGACACTTTCCTCATCTAAATTTCCAGGAGTTGAACTTCTACCGGGAGACCCACTTGTTGACTTCGAATATGCCGATGACATAGTTCTATTTAGTGAAGACGCTGACAGAATGCAGAGTCTGTTGACCACTCTTAGCAACAATGCAAGCATGTTCGGCATGCGATTCTCTCCCTCGAAATGCAAAATGTTGCTTCACGATTGGGTGGCATCGACACCCGAACTAGTGATAGGGAGTGAAGTAGTTGGGTGTGTCGACCGCTTCACTTATCTTGGAAGTCTGATCAGCCTTTGTGGTCTGGTGTGTGACGAAATCTCAGCACGGATACAGAAGGCTCGACTAGCTTTTGCCAACTTGCGTCATTTGTGGCGTAGGCAAGATATCCGACTATCAACCAAAGGACGGGTTTACTGCGCAGCAGTTCGTTGCGTCCTACTTTATGGCAGTGAAACATGGCCAGTAAGAGTAGAGGATATTCGTAGGTTACTAGTATTTGATGATAGGTTGCTTCAAAACATTGCTCGTATATCCTGGGACCACCGAGTAAGTAATGCAGTTGTTAGGAAATGGGTCCTAGGTAAGGATGGCAAATAAATTGAGGAAGTAGTAGGTAGGTGTAGACTACCTGGTTGGGGACCGCGAGATGATAGCAACCGATGGTTAGAGACCTTGAATGACATGGCTCAAAATCGTTTGCAATGGCGCAGGTGCATCCACTCTTTGTGTTCTCTCAAACTCTAATCTTCTGTATTCTTCATGTCTTTTGTTTTCTTTCCAAATCTATTCCACTGGACTATACTCCTTGAATAACATCTTCAAACCATAATGTTCCCTATCACTACTTATACTTTAAGTACCTCTACCACTGTGGGATTTAAATCAATAACTGAATCTCTGTGCTAATGTGGTATGGCAACTCGAACTGATGTACGTACGTACGAAGTTCCACGTTGTTACTGACTGACCAATGCATTTTGAAATTCTCTGTAGGTAGAAACGAACCCTCTTGAAAAAATCTTCTAGGTAACTGCCATTACTATTACTGTCCAAATTATTTGGGAAAAAGCAATGTGTTTAACAGAAGTGCTTCAAGTAAATAATGTTTTGTTATAAATCTTCAGCTAGGATGTTTAGATTAAGTAAGCCAAAAATGATATCACAACTAATCATAGAGTTCACTTAATAACTTGTTGATTATTTTCAATCCAGTTGATATATCGTCATCTTGTTTTAGAATATTAAGACTGAGTGGAGGTTTATGCTGTTCAATCTTATCTTACCCAAACAACTAACTTGATATATTGGTAACTGGTTTACCTTACTTTAGTCTCTTAATTTTGCAATGCATAAATCTTATCATTTGTACTAACTATTGTAATAATAGTAATAATAATGACAATAACAATAGTTTTCTCTCCATCAATAAATATTTCATGAAATTCTGGACTTATACGCCTTTTCTTCACAGTGGTAGAATATTATGATGCATACTTTTATTTTCTTATTTTGTTATTGCTATTCAATACTCTGAATAAAAAGATTCATCATTTACTTTTATTTGGGTATTTACTGTTATATTCCTAGACCTATAAATCCATGATACTATATTATTTATTAATAGTTGGGAAGAGAATCAATAGCACAAACCAAATGTTAAAATGCTTTCAAATAATTAGGTGTGGAATAATAAATCTTTCAATATTTATATTAAGTGAAATGTTAGACTATAACTATTGGTTAAACTGACCGGGGATTTCTAAATCCAAAAGTATTCATGTGATAAGTCCAGGAAAAGAAGTTAATAACTGAGCCCTTCACTCTTTAAGACTCATGTTTATTCGATGGAAAATCGAGAATGACAAACGCTAAAGAACTAGTGAACTTGAAGACATAATTGAGAGTGCATAATTTTTTCACTGTTCACTGTTGCAACATATATATATATATATATATATATATATATATATATATATATATATATCAGTAACCACTTTTATCATTTGTCTATACTACATGGCTGTTCCGATCATGGATATTTGGTTACCAGGGGTTTTGGAGCATATCTGCCTTACAATAAATAAACTAGAAGACAAATCGTTTGAGGAAACTACGGAATATAATACGCATACCAAAACGCTATGCTTGCATGTTTTAGAAATACCTCGGACTAATGTGTGGTATGGGTACTGCGGATTTTCGAGATGAAGTCTACATAAAAGGGGAAATCAAGCTTTTAATATTAGGTGAAGTAAATCAGAATCAGCGACAACCTTGTCTTTTTTTTACCCATAGTTTCATTCTGGTTTTTGTGTTCTTTCTAAATTATTTAGTGTTATCGTTGTCATTTTCTTCTCTTTGCCTCTGTTGTGAATTGATCAATGTCCCAAATATAACTGGCACTTACATTCTCCCAAACATTAAGCAAATATATAGACAAATGAAGGTTATTATCTAGTCACAAGTAGTCTAAAATGTAAAATGATGATGATGGATTGTAATACTAAATGCAAAAATACATTGACTGATTATGTATGACATGTTTTCACGCCAACTAAATCGTTCAACCTTGTTGCTTCTTGATAACACACGTTTTATGTTATTATCATATTCTTACAATAATTTCTTTCAGTGGGTTGTGTTAATTTGTTTGTATATATAGTAAAATAGTATTTTTGACTCCAGTTTCTGTTACAGACGATATAATGTTCAGAAAAATTCATGGGGCCTTTGAAATGAATAAACTAGTGATCAATATATAATGTGTAGCAATATTATATGGCCAACTGATAAGTGGTTACGAGACCGAATTTTTGACTCATTTTTCTAAATTAACTTACATACAAAAACAGTAAAACCATCAAAATAGGTTTTTCTGAAATGGCAAAATGATATGCTTAGATATTGAAAATTTCAAACATAAAAAATATGCATGATTATGTTACTGAGCAAATAACTGATCAGAGGTCATGAGTTTTTATAGATCAATTACTCCCTAATATAAGTAATTCTTAGCCGTCGTATTAGCTTCTCATTATTCAACCAGATTTTTAGTCTTTTCCGATTTAAATATCTGAACTTCTATCTAAGGTATAATCAACTGGTTACATCTTTGAGGAAAGATGGCTCAATAGTTAAGACGTTGGACTCTCATCTATTAAGCTTTAAGTTCAAAACTCGTTCCGTCTACTTCGGTTCGGTCATGAAGATAGATTTCCTAGTTCTCATGCTTGGAGTGTAGTTTGAAGCTAGATGCACTAGCCTGTGACACGTAAATCAATCAATAATACATATACTCTTCTAAAAGCAACTTTGACAGTTAATATCCAGTGTTTCTTCATATGGTGATTTTTAAAAAAAGGAAATAAGAATAAGGGATAGGTGTTGTACACTATGATATTCTTTTTTGTAACCGTAAACTTTCTATTGTATTCACATTTGGTTAAAGGTATTTGTAATTTCAAGTTGTATAAAATTGCTTTTTTAATCTTCTTAGACACATAATGATTTCTTAGGTTATTGCGTGCTCTACTGATTCGGTTTTTTCTTTACTTTTGAACTAGTTTTGGTGTTTTGTTATAAATATTTTTGTTTATGTGCACTTTATTTTTTACACATCTATCTTTTTTAGAGCTACGCAATCAGTTTACGGAACAGTTGAAATGTTTAGATCTTAAATTAGATATTGATTCTACTGTAGTCGCTGAACTTCAGGATTTTTATCGTCGACGAGCTAGTGTAGAACAGGATTATGCCGATGCCTTAGCTAAACTTGCCAATGGGTTAAAACAACGTCATGTGAATGAAACAACAAAGTAAGTCCTTTCATTTATTAATTTGTGTCGTTGATTGTTTCATGCCGTTTGCTTTCCGACTGAGAATACTGATGGTGGCTTTGTTTCATTATAAGGTCAATAGTATATTGATAGACACTTCCCTTTTTATTTATTTAAGTCGTAGAATGACTTAGTCAGTTTCGTCTTGTAAAGTCTGTTGATGATTTATTTTTATCTTTAAAAACAAACTGTTATTTCGGAAATAGTTCATTGTTGCAATATACTGTGATTGTTTCAGCGCATTGTTGTATATTATGAAGAACTCTATCATTTCACCATTTTATTATCATAGTCGACTTTATTGTGCCTTTTAATCTTCAGGGAATTTGTTATTTAGTTATGTATCCATGAATTTGAATGTGTATCGAACGTGTGGTCACGTTCCTTAATGAGTGCAATTTGGTAGTCACATTCTGACCAAATTGTTAGACTATAATTCACACATAGTGTATGTTGGTCCGTTTTACTGTATACATGTGTACACGTTGTGTTACGTAAAGCAGACTTTTGACTTAGTGATAAAAATTCCTCCAAACTCTTTCCAATTTCCTATTGAAATTATTGAGGTGTATTGATCGCACATAATATTCTTGCATTGTTCCTTTGCACTATTTAAACTTGGATTAATTTTGATTTGGTTATTTATTCTTTGAAGAAGTGGCTTACAATGAGTCACGAAACGTCAGAGAATCTAATTTTTCTACCCGTTGGGATAGTACAAATATATTGTTTTATTTATTGAAGTGCATGTTGTAGTGAATTATGTTGATTAATTATTGCTTCATCAGTATTTAGTCCATACTGCTACAAAAAAGTAGCTTGTACTTATTTCGTGGGTAAATTATGACAATGAACATTGTCGCTATAAAATTGTTGAAACAGTAAGATAATCAGTATGATTTGGAATGATTGATTTTGAGAGTTTTGCGTGTTCGCATTCACTAGCTTCCTAATGAACGTAATAAACTTTAGTTAATTGTCATTAATCATACATTTATAGTAATTTTCTACTTCATACGTAGTTTATAGTCTTTCAGTATTTCATATGACTCAATCAGGTTTCCTCAATTTAATGTATTATGGGAATATTTAATCGGGTCAGCCTTATCATAGTATATTACATGTTATATTTTTGTAAAATTAAACAAGGAATATGATAATTTTAAAATGTGTTTTTGTTCATTACCAAAGTTTCACCGTTTGGTATCATTCGATAATATTAAATATCATATTTCCCCTGTGATTATTATCATAGAAATTCACTGATCTGCGGCAAATATTAGATGGTGAACGGGTATTTATGTATTGAAAAGTGTGTTTTGCATCACTGTGCAAATGTCAATTCATTTCTTTGAAATTAATAATAATAACAATAATAGAATTCTGAATTTTAGGAAAGTCGGTGACAACACTGGAAATATATATATATATATATATATATATATTTACTATTTTACTTTAAAATATAATCAAATTAACCGTGATCCGTGGTGGGGGACGTCAAGTGATGTGATTCAGAATCAACCATATTGATATAGATGGATTTATGATTTATCTTCTTTTAAATCTTGTGTTATGGTTTTCCTTCGTACAAATCTTTCCATCCTATTTAATTTTGTTGACTATCATTGGTGTTACAATTACTTCAAATCCTTTGGGCACCCGGGCAGTATTCCAGCCCTCACACAAATCCAATGATTGATGTGGTGCATGTCTGTTTGGTGCCTCTTTGTACCTATGTTTGTGTGTTTAAATAATAATAATAATCTGCGTTAATTACAAATAACTGAGTAACCATTATGTTCAAACCAAAACATTGTATCAGTCAATGAAGTTATCGATTGTTGGTCTGAGTTTTCTAATCAGGATCTACAAGATATTTGTGATTTATGTTTAGAAACCATGGGGCGATATGAGTCGAAATCATTTGGTCTCGGCGTTTACATATTTTTTCTTTGTCTTCATTAAGATCTCTAGTTTTGGTATTGTTATTCCATACTCTATTCCATTCATTTGGTTGCTTCTGCCGTTGATAATATTATTTCATCAACTTTGTTTATCATCTTATCGATTTTGTGCTCATGTTAATTGTACAAGAAATTTATTCCAGTTCCTATATTTTTTGCAGCTGTCCAAAAAAAACATTGATTTTGCCGGTTATCTTTGATTTTATAATTATGACAAAAACATGGCATGATGTAATTTCTGGTTAATGATTTCTGTTGTTCATGCATTGTTTCTCTTGTCATTTGTTTTTCTAAAATAAAGTAGGACGATTAATTAGATATTTTTCACTACTGAAGTTTCATCTTTGTTTTCACATAAGATGCTACTTTGACAATGTAGATCCATTAAATGCTCTATTCAAATTTCGTGAAATTCTTAATTCAGTTGAAGTAACTAATCTTCCCAAATTATAATGGTTTGATTATTTTCTCTTTTTTGTTTGTTTTGAAAATATATTTAGACGCCCTCATTGGGCGCCTTATACAGCAACCACCATATGGAATACATTACTTGGTTCAACATTACATCTAGCTGAAGCTCATGCAACTTTATCTGATATTTTTTCGAAACAAATGGTTCAACGTTTAGCTGATATGGATGAAGATGCTGTCCGTTTGCACAAACAGGTAAAGTTTTTATTTTGTGTGTATAACTGATGACAATAAGCCTAACTTTTCTATGTTTCAACATATCTTATTTGAGCCACTATAATTAGAATTAATAAAGTTCTATTGACTTTTTTGAGCATAATATTTTGTTTTATTGTATTAGTGTTATGTCTTGGTAATTTTTCTGTTGGATTGGTTAGATTCACGTTAATATCTAACTAGGAACTGTTGAAATTTATCTAATACGAATTCGATAGTACAGCCACTGACACACAACAACACTTCAACGTTAACAATCCATATGTCCATAAGAGATAAAGAATGCTTGACTTTCACCATATCTTTATATACTGAACAGATGTCAGAAAAGCCAAAATTGAAATGGAATAGCTCTGTTTATACAGCAACTTAGTAAAAGTAACATACCAAAGATGATAACGACCAATGAGAAAACTATAAAGGTCTTGCAGAAATATGAATGAGGAAAATGTTATAACAGTTATAATTACAAAGAAGAAATTAATATTTATTAATAAAAAGACCAGATAACCTAGAATTTTCTTAACCGTCAATTTAAATCAAAATATTTTTTTGTCGTATGTATATATAATTAGAATAAAATAAAATAAATTTAATAAAGGTTATCAGATGATTTTTCTTCATGTTTTATTAGTTATTAATATTATCATAACAAATCACGAGTTCTTTCTGGCTGATTTTGTCATCCTCTTTCATGTGTTCTTGATAGTTTATTTCATTTATTGATAATATTATACTATATACACATTAGGCTTTATTATCAATTCTTTTTGTTTTTGTTTCAGTGTTAAATGATATTGTAGTTAAATCACAAATAATTATTGATGCACAGAACTGTTAGCGTCGAGAATGAGATGAAAGTGTATATTGTTCAAAGTAAAACGCCTCTTAACAAAACATTAAGGTGAAATCTACAAAATGATAAAAATGTTAAAATAAATTGGTAGGTTATCAGACGATAAGAGAAAATGAATGATAATTAGATCACTAGTTTAATTGCACGAAAGTTTGGCGCCAACTTTATTGATAACAGTGTTATCAGTATGCTTGTAAAATCAAGAAATTAAAGTTTCACACATTGATTTATAGTTATTTATTCTTCGATTTGCCTCATCAGTCAGTAAGTAATTCAACTCAGTAATCATGTACTTATATATACACTCAACATTAAACCACTTTTCAGTTGTTGCTTGATGCTCTTTGTGATAGTGTGGTGTGTGCTACTTATGTAGACATAAGTAGTATATGACATGAGTACTGAACAGAATGTCTGGCAGCAGAGAGACGAGAAGATCGAACAATAAAGAATGAAGAAAGAATGCAATTTGTATGGAAATGCAAGAACAAAGGGGTTCTGAGTTATTTGAGACAATTGATGAACAATTTGCAAATTAACGATTTAATATATGGTTGTTGGATTTTACTAACTAGTTATGTAATTTGTTGTAAAATACATTCGGTTGTCCTCACCAGTGTTCTGCTTCACTACGATAGTAGTGTGGTTCGATTCTGTCATTTTATAGTTGAAATTTGAATGCCTTAACTATAACTTACCTTATGAGTTGAATCATAATGACATTCTTGACAAATATTATCCTACCATAACATTCCTCTCTAAAACCAATCAACCTTGCTAAATTTTCAATATCGATGACTTCGAAAATTGTATTACGCACTATTTGGTATGCGACAGTTTGTGACTGTTACCTACAAATATGGTTTCACCTTGAAATATGTAATTTGTCAGTAATTTCTAGTTAATTGTCAAGTGTGTAAATGTGTCTGAATATCAATATAATCACTTAATTCGTCAAGGATATTTACATTCTTATCTATCCAGATGCGTTGATTGATTGATATGTTTGGTTATGTTTAGTGGAGAATGATTTTTGAAGAAATTCATTTCACTCTATATATTTATATGTAAAGGTCATTCTAGAAATTATTTAATCAGTGAAATAGTCTTACTTTATTACTAATTAAATAGGTCATGATTATTTTTATTTCAAAATAGTTTCATTCCATTTTCTTATATTTCTATTTAATGACATTTTTGTATTCTATAAAATTGTCTGAATACCTCTAGAGTATTTATAATTATTTGTGGCAATGTTTATGACCATTAACAATAAGATAAATAAATACGTTTTTTGGTTTCATTATTTTTCACTTCTGGATTGATTCCAGTTGAATGAATTGTGATAGCAATGAACGTAATTAAATCAATATAAAAGGTTGTGATATGATACAACGTAAATTAGTTCTTGTTTAGATACTTTGTTTTTTAGGTCTTCGTCTCGTTTTTATCCAGGCCCTCAATTTTCAATCACTCTGTCAGGGTCAAAACCTACCTGTGCTTTTCACATTTCAGTTCCGTTGTAGTCCTGTTGTGTAATTGTTAGTCATTTAGTCAATAAATTTTTGTGGTTGTGAAGTTACATCATATTATTATAAATATTTGTTTTGATACACTTTTAGGAATATTTTCTTTCAAACTCACTGTATATTGCTAGTTTTCTTTTATCAGTGTGAAGTTTGGGATTTTACTAATTCAATACTTATATGATGTATGTTACTTACGTTGACAGACATAAGTAGTATGTATCGCTAATTGGAAGTGAAATACATGGCAGCAGAAGATTGAGAAGATCGAACTGAAGACAGCAGGAATGTGAACAGAGAGTAATTGTAGTAACAACAGGAATGAAGGAACAATGAAGTTTTTAAGAGATAACTGATATAAGACTATGCAAATGATATATTTAATGCATGGTTTCCGCATTTCACGGAGACATTCTGTAATTTTGCATTGGACAGTAAATTGGATATCCTCACAGAAATGTAGTAAAGGGAAACTTTCCTTCATTCCTGTTGTCTTCAGTTCGATCTTCTCAATCTTCTGCTGCCAAGTATCCCACTTTCAATTGGTGTTACTACTTATGTCTGTCAACGTAAGTATCATACACCACACTTGTATCATTATCTTTTGTCTTTTTAATTTTTAGTTCAGTTTCCCTTGTTACTCTTTGTTGTAAATTGTATCTTATTAGACTTGTCTTTGTTTGCTCCAGATAGAACGTTTTTACATCTGTCATGTTTTCGGTTATTTAGAAATGAATCAAACTAAATATTCTAGAAAATGTTTTATTGTTGCTAAAATACGTTCAATCATGTCAGTAGCTACTGTACTTCAGATGATGGAACGCTAAAATCCCTTGTTTTTTTTCAGGATGCCTGTAATTATTGGTTAATTAGGTTAAGTACGAATTGATATACCTAGGAGTATAAACGATCGGTTACTAACTCAGTGGTTTAAAGGTTAAGCGCCCATCGTAAGTGTTATAACGTGTGATCCGCCTATTAGAGAGCAGCCTATTATCGATCGAAACAGTGACGCACAAAATACGACCGAGCAGCCTAGAGCTCTGATTGGTCCTGCTTCCCTGTCTAGTCCAGCTAATTGAGTCCAGAACACAAGTCTCGGCCTCGGAGATATGAATCGTTATATTTCAAACATACACTGCTTATATACCGAACAAACAAACTACATCATACCATAAATAGAAAGTAACATTTGTACAAGATTTAACCTTCAGGAAATGACACAAATAAATATTGACCAATAAGGAGATGACACGTTGGAAGAATGTTGACCAATGGGGAAATGACACTACTTCTCATTCAGGAATGGCATTAGATAATTTCTGGGGTATTTTCTGAATACCCCAACAGTAAGACCTGAAAGTCTTTGGCTTGGTCCGCAGATGGGCCATGGATATGTACTGCCGGATACGCCCATGCTAGGATGAAACAGTTATCAAACGCATCATAGTTTCTACTGGTTGTCTGAATAATTTCAGTTCGTGATTTAAACTATGAAATTTAACATTCTTTACAAACCCCTTAAACCAATAAATACTAATTACTCGAAAATTATTGTTATAGTTTAACCAGATCATCGGGATATTTAGTGCTTTATAGAATAATCTAACATGAAATGTATACAACTTTTTTTATTCTAATAAAGCTGAACACTTCTGTATTTAACTTGTTATAAGATTGCTTGATGCTCAAACTTTATTGTTAATTATAATGGATATAGTCATATCAGAAATACTTAACCAATTTTTTTTCATGAAAGACATTCTTATTATCAACAAAATTATATAAAGAGTTAAAGAGCAAAGAATTGAGGTTGGAACTTACGAAACAAAATGAATTCATGTTTTTCTGTTCAATTCTTTGTTCTTGTTCTCTTCAAGATAATAAGGGGAACTAAATATATGAAAATTATGTAATCTAGATAAAAATTGTTCATCAAGGTATCATCGCTTTCTATTTAATTCAAAATATTGTCAGATAACTGCATAGTATCAATGCATACATAAATCGGAGTTATCATATTGAAAATCAATATCCCTAGCTGACGAATGAAAATCAGTTAGTTATGTGATTACTTGTTGTCTTATTAATTTCCACTAAGTTGTCCATCAGTTTCTTCCTTCTGGTTCATTTCAACGCTTTTCTCTCTTTCATTTTTTTCCTCGCTTATATCCTCTTGTTCTGTGAATAATTTGGAAGCTTAAGTCGATAAACTCTTGTTCAGTCTAACTTGATCTATTCACCTATCTATGCATTCATTTATTCATCCATCCATCAGAAAACACTTTTTCACTTAGTTTCATTATTGAACTTATTATGTCCATAATCTTATCAACATAAATTTTGTCAAACCTAATATAGTTTTTTTAAATGACTGACAATTTAAACACATCCCTATAGTTTAAATAAAAAGTCTATCCCCTGTACTTATTGAAATATATCATTATTTTCGGTGAAACTCACTAATCGAATACAAAATCATTAAGTATGAAGGCTGGTGATAAACTACTCAGCTATCCAAATCCATCCCAAAGTTAAGGAATTTGGTGTTTTAACCTTTATGTCAACACCCACTCATTTTTGCCGGAATGCTATCACTCGATTAGTCAGAACGGCGAGACTATAATTTATGGATGAATCAATCAGGTATAAGATAACAGGTGTCAGATTTTGACACTAAATTCACCCATCCATTTGGCTATATAGAGTTTTGGCATTATAGCTGATGTCAGTTCGTGATGAAAACCCTAAATTTAATTCCTAACTCTAACCATCAACTGTTAATCATCATTCTAATTCGTCACCCTGGTTAATAACCCTTATTTTGTCCTAGTTATTGAGTGAACACTCTCAAGGTCCCTTTAGCGTCGCTCAAAGGTAGTTCATAAATTATAGTCTCACCGATTTGTAGTTCAGGTGGATGATTTAGGTTGCATTTTGTCTGATCTGCATGGTTTGGTCATAGAGCTTGTATTGTTCGTCCAAACAACATCATCAGCCCAGACGTCAGGCAGAATTTTGTGTTCGTGATGTTTTCCAGATGAACAACGAAAGTTCTACAACCAAACCACCTAGCTCAGAAAACAAAACTCCATCTACGATGACATACCAAATATTGAACTCTAGAATAAACCTTATTAGAAGTCATTCAACAAACAAAGGATTGAAAGATATGACAACTTTAGATCATTCAATTTGCAGTAGAATTAATCCCTGACTATCAGGTTTAATTCTTGCCCAATCATATCAGTGATTTTATTGTTTGCTTTTTTCTGCATTACATAATAGTTTCAAACTTACCGATAATATTTCATAAAATTCATTGTATTTCACATGAACCAATATATTGTCTTAATTGTTTATTCGATAAACGTGTGAAAGTAAAATTCTTCTAGAAATATTTACCTTCTTGATTTGTGTGGGTTGTGCAATCGTAATCATACTTTGTCTGTTTCTGTGATTCAACTGGTCTATATTAGTCATGGGGACTGTTTGAAAAGTAAATAGAAATCGAGCTATCGCTATATATGTGCATTTTTGTAATTGTAGGATTATTGGCTACAGTAAACAAAAAGCATATAGTTGTATGTTTCAGCCAAGCAAACGTTAAGACTGTTTGAATGATATTTAATAATTATTGTAAAATCTGTAATTGTATTGGTTAGCTGTTGTAAAATATGCCAAAATTACTTAGTTTAGCAATAATCTTACTATTTCTGTAAACGTTTGAAGTGAATGTGTAAGAAAGAATAACAAAAATAGTAATAATAGTAATCTTGTTACTATTAGTTTTAAAGTGATAATTAACCATTCAAATCTGTAGGTAAATACGTAGTAACTTCAGAAAGTGGAGAATACTATGTCTGGAGAAGTGGTTAGTGTTGGATTTTGGTTTATTTGATCTCATCGTACCTTTGAAACTAGGAAACTAAACAATTTTTTCTACAAAATATTACTTTAAATAGTTAAAATAATAGCAAATCTATGTATGTCACTGTAATAATGTACTCAATCAATGAAGGGATTTTATAGTGATTGGTTTGGCTTGTAAGTAATATTCGTCATGGATTAATCTCATTCAGGATACCATTGAAAATCAAGTAGCATTTGACGTCTGCTTCGTCGTAGTGAAGAACTCAGCGTGAGTACATATCACCCTTCCAAAAATCAAGCCCGGGACTTTGAATGTTCATAGCAAGCCCCTAACCAATATGCTTCTAGATTGGCATCTAGTGGTACATATTTTCAACTTCAATAGATTCATACTGTAGCGCGATGATCACTTAATGAAATTAATGAGTACGATTTCACTCGTAAAATCGTTTGATTTTACTGGTCACAATTTATCACTGAAATTTTGGGGGGTTATCTCAAACCACGATTATGATATTCATGGGTTTTGTAAAGATCGGTTGAAATTGAACGTGGTTTACGTCACAGACTGACCTCAACTGTAAGTGAGTAAACATCGTGTTATATGATGAATTGGTTAAAGTTGGAGATATGTATCAGTAGATACTAACTTATTAATATAATAGTTAGGCGCTCATCGCGAAACCTGAGGGTTTCGAATCTGATCACCGACACGGTCATGGATGCTTACTCTCGAGAAGTCCTATACTGGGACGAAGCAGCTGTTTAACGTTCCTTGTTTTTCCACAGTACCTCAACTGAGGTCACTCTGTGACAAATGCCTTTTGAAAGTCTGATTAATTATTTGTGATGTTTTTCAATTATTATCGGACTATGTAAAAAGTACCAAGCCCGATTTTCGTTCTAATTTAATGTCAGTGAGACGTTTTCGTTTCATTTGTATGGTTGATAAAAGATATCTATGTTTGTATTTTATCTATGTAGTGTCGTGAAATGATGTCCTCATGTCAAGATCGTGTTTTAGCCAATACTACCAAACTCCAGGCCGATCAACGTGAATATGCACATAGGCAAGCCGCAGCATTAGAGGCTGATCGAATCCGTCGTCGTGCTGAAGATAAACTGTTAGCTGCTAATCAAAAAGCCCGTAGTAAAGGCAAAGATCCTGATAATAGTCAACGGTCTATGCGAGCTCAAAATGAATTCGACTTGGTTAGTGCACAGATATTATAACACTTTCACTTATATCACAATAATAGATTTGATTTTAGATGGAAAATATTTTCTTTCTCACCATGTTTTTCCCTTCACTGTTGTATGAGAGTGCCTACTTACAATGAAAAATTTGTTTTAGTGGTTTTACGTATGCGATTTCAGTTTTTACTTTCATATTCGCATTTTAATGTTTGGTTTTAGTATGTAGGTATGTTGTTTTTATTTATTTATTATTTACTTTAACACATAAATATTGGTAAAAGAGGGCACCAAATATATATGCGCCACGCAAAACTTTATTTGTGTGTGGGCCGTGATTCTGCCGGGTGCCCATACCGAAGCAGATAGTTTTCTTAGGGGGCCACACCCGGAGCCTTCAACCTAAAGGTCTGACCCACGAGGCAGTGCAGCATCGTGAGGAGATGCAGTCCCATGGTAGCCGGTGACCAACGATTGGTTCATACGCCATTTGTTCCCTCAGGATACTGGAGCCAGCCCATGTGTACCATTGGTTTTGGATCCGGTTAAAGCTCAGGACATTCGCTTTTCGTCCTCTCATTTCCGTAAACAACACCCCCGCCACGAGAAGGCAGTGAGTAGGACTTCCCTGGCAGAGGCTGTATACGCGTGTCCGTGTGAGAGTATTTCGAGAGGGAGGGCGAACCCACCCCACTCTCGGCGATACCAGGGCATTTGGGGGCAGGTATATTGTTAGATCCCACTAACTATTCTGAAAACGGAGGTGCGCTAATGTGTAACATAGCGACTGAAGAAGTTGAAATTGAAAAGCCGTTATTTTTTCGTAGTGCAATACGGAAGCAAAAGGGTGCTTAAACAAAGCAGAACCTCATTTAGTAGTGTAGAGTACTCCAGTTTGCAACATTATAGGAAAAAAAACAAGATATTTTTTGTGTATCTTAAAATGATATCCGCAAGGCTGTGTTAGTTATCACACTCAAATTTATGAACAAGAAATAACAATTAATTTCTACCGATTGCCAAAACCAGAACTAATGAATGAACAGTGGCATAGGAAACAGATTTATTTTGCGTTGGTCACAAGTTCCCATCACTGGTATAATAAAAATTATTTGACAACTAAGTTGACTGCGACTGATTAATGGTCACTGGTTAGATCGAATATCATTCATGCTTCTTTTTAATATTCTCACTAAATCTGTGCTTCAACCACGAATTTGGAGAACGCTAGACAAAATACTTGCCCCAGTTATGGCGATGTTGGCTTCATAAGATGAGACGTTAGTACAATTGAACAAAAATCAGCATTAACTCTATGACTCCTATGACATTTGCTTTATAATGAGCAAACAGATTTTATAAACTTTAAAAAATGCTCTATGTGATGGTACATACTATCTAAATGGACATTCAGAAAAGGATATACCAGCTCTATGATACTGTTTTTAAAAAAACAACCTTTCTTTGGTCCACTTATTCTTGCATAACTTATAGCTGTCGGTGTGATATATTTGAAACTGCCTCATTCAGTACAGTTTCGATTGACTTATCTTTCTACGACTAACTACAACAGTGCTTATTTGATTGTTTGACAACATGTGGATGGTACTTTGATTATATCTACAACAGCATTCTTGTAACTTGCTCTGATTTTTCACAATATATGTTATTTGCCGTAAAACTGAACTGTAGTCAGTATATTCACACTCTAGTACGCTTTTGGATATCTCTTCGACTCCGTGAATATCGTCGTTCAATACAATGTCGATCAAGTATACTATGGAAATACCCATTAGCCAATCTTGTTTTGTTTAATGTTGCGCATTATTTAAACATGTTTGATTATAGCTAATACCAGGTATTGAAAACAACTGTTAATTTTTGAAAGTTCTTTACAGATAGAATCCAAATATAATATATGAGAATAAAGATAGCAGGTCGTAAAATATAGGAAAATATAAACTCATTGTCCTATATTTCAATGCTACAATGCAGTTATAATGTACTGTTACCACCTTTGACTTTCAGTAGCGCATAGTATTCTTCGATTTTACACATGACTAGGCCAGTAAATATGAACTCAATTTTTATACTAATATACATTTACTGAATTCTGAATATCACTTTAACAGGGTAACTGAAACAATATAATTTATGCGAAACCATGTCATAAATAACTTTTTGTCGACTTTTCACATATGTACATTGTTTATCACTGATTATTTCGGTTTCTTTTGTCACTCAGTTTTGCTTTCTACAAAGTTACCTAATCAGTCTCTCTCCTCTCTCTGTCTATGCATCAAATTATTCCACCTACGATTGATTTTTTTGTGAAATTAGATTATGGATTCATAAAATGTAGTATTTATTCCTAATCATAATCTTCGGTGTTATTGTTTGGTTATTTTCTGTCGATATACCAAAGATAATTTGCACTGAACATTTTGAACCTGTTTATTATTATTTTTTCTTTCTTTGCTTGCTTTTTTGCATTTGTATTATTTATTTTATTCCTTACTTTTACTGTTCACATAAAGAAGGATGTACAGATATTTGTAGTTTTCATATTGTATGTCAATAATGGATAAAATTTTTTTCTAACCATTCATCTGAAGAGATGTTAACATTGGATAAGTTAAGTTTGAATGCTAACAATAAAGCATAAAATTTATACGATTTGTTACAAAGGCTATCTTTCCTTCGGTAGTTGTATGAGCAATCGATCCGCTGAAGATTCCAAGAAGTACTTGGAAGTGAAAACCTATTTGGTTTATTAAGCTGTAGTAGTTTGCCTAGTACATTTCATCATGCCATTATAAAAATGTTTTTTATTATTAGACGGCAAGATTAACGTGAGTTATTCTTGTTCATTTGTGTATACTCAACTAAAGATTTGTTTGGAGTTGGTAACCGAAAAACCACGAAAGGAAGTTGTTCAATCTCATATTTTCTGCACTTGAAAGAATCATGTGGATCTCGATTCTTATTTATTTAATTAAAATAATCCTGTTACAACATTGAGAAACGAAGAATCAGTATTTCTTCAAAAATATTAATGCATGAAAAACTAATATTAAGTGGTCGGGGGTATACGAATTTTTAAAGCTGAATGCCTTTGGTTCAGAAGAAAAACTGAATTCACTTTGTCTTTTCGAGGCTTAAACAAGCCAATATCTGTCTATTTTACTGTAATTTTGTACGGTTGTAATTAATGACATTGTTGAAGTTTCCTTTACTTTTATTCTTCCGATCCGTTTGTATGGTAAATGTGGTCTCTTAAACTAAGCGAGTAAATGTTATCTCATCATAATAATGTAATCCTTTACCAGGTTTCCAATGAGTCCAGAAATGCTTGAAGCTAAATTTTTGTTTTTTCAAGACAGAAACACTATTTGATCAATCAGATCAGGACAGATATAAATGCAGTATAAATTTACGATTCGGTTGTCTGGAAGAATGAAGGCTTAGGCTTTGACCCAAAGCTATTTCACGAAATAACGTAAAGACATCATTTTAGAGATAATAAAACTTACGATTGTCGTACTTTTTTGTGATGTCTTAGAGGGTATCTATCACGTTTAATTGATGTTGAATAGTAGTACAATTTAAAATATAAAATATCCGTGATGTTAAACAATTCTATGTATTTGACATTGGTTATTTCCTGTTTACTTTGTGTTCAAAAGTCAAGAACGAAGCTAGATATTTGTAAAATTTGTTTATTGTAGTCTGTCATCGGAAGTATGTTGTCAATATAATGTGCATGTTACAGGTCGACGCAAGTATGTACACATTCCCGTCTAAAATAACATTTATCTTATGCACAAGTGACTGATTTATTCATATAGATTTTCAATTTATCTTAAGTAGCATATTTTTTCCTTTCATCTTGAATAATTAAAAAAAACGTAAAGTTAAGACATAAGAAAGCCCGTTGATGAGTTATTTACACTTTCGATAATATTTTTCTGCTACATTAATAAGACGCTATTCTCATCTTTTAATTGATTTGAACATGATGAATGTTGAATGTTTCATGAACTAGCTACTAATCTTTAAATGAACATGATCTGTGTGTATTCATCAATTTAAACTAAAATAACGTCGTTTAAACCGAATTTTTAATCATTTTGGGTATCGTGTATGCCCAAGCTGTCTTCATTATTTGAGTCATACGAACAATACGTTGAATTGACTCCACTGGTCGATCACCTATTGAGGGGACACTATAGTGAGATCTATCATGTATTTCCCAAATTTTGCTTATAAAGATTAACATTATAGAGATTGGTTTTTCGCTTAAGATGTTCTAGCTAAGTAAACAGGATGTGGTCAATTTTTTTCAAGGATTTTCACCTTATAAGATGATGAGAATAAATGTTATCTGAACCAACTATATATATATATATATATATATATATATATATATATATATATATATATATATATATATATATACCATTGCAGTACTGTTTAAAATTGTCCACATAAGAGGACCACTTTAAGCTAATTTATTATTGGTTAAGAAAAATTGCTTATTCATTAATCACTGTTAACCGAGAGGCTGGTTTATCCGTCAGTATATACATCTCTTTTGTTTATTATTATTATTATTATTATTATTATTATTATTATTATTATTATTATTATTATTATTATTATTATTATTATTATATCTTAATGTGTTGTTGTATGATAGAAACAAGCGAATTATATCAATGCGACTTTATCAACAACTCGTGCACGAAATGAATATTTAATACAGTTGGCTGCTACTAATCACAGTGTTCAACGTTATTTCACTCAAGAGGCGCCGGATATAGTTGAGGTAATGTCATATATATATATATATATATATATATATATATATATATATATATATATATATATATATATATTAGTGCGATTACGTCCTTCAAGGTAGCAGGTGTAAACTGCTATTTAAGGCGTACGCCAACATGAACAATTTGCTGATTTCGCCCATCATTCCACCTTAGTATAGTGGTTAGTGGTGTAAGTTTTTTCAGCACATTATTCTACAAAAATAACGATTCTTCTAGCTAATATGCCATTCATTCTCAATGGAAAAGATACAATGTTATTTGTAAAGACAGTGTTCATCAATAAAAAATATCAAGAAATTGAATCCACTGAATTTGTAAGACTTTTATTTCTTGAGAAGAATCCGCATTGAGAATATGCATAATGAATAAAAGCACTAAGTGGTCTTGATAATTCTTTTCTCATAATCAAATAGAAAAAGCATTATAATGTCATTGTCTAGATAATAATAGAGAGAGAAACTACCATTGATTGGTGAGTAATATTTATCAAGTATTATTGATAACACGAGCGTGGTAACATGAATTATATCTATTTCATCAAGAATAGGATACACACTTTCGGATCCCCTCACATCAACATCACAGTAATTAATTTACATAGGTGGAGCAGTGACTTAGTGGTTAGGACGTTTGACTTTTAATCACTAATTTACCTTCTCCAACTCCACTCCATCTCCTTCAGCTTGATGTACTTTCCTGTGGTCGATATATCTAACGTTTACCATTCATCTTGTAAATTTCATTTCCTTATGGTATAGCAACTTGGGCCAGTACATATATGTAGCTAGCCTTTGCGCTGGTTATAGCTGACTGACTAGTTAACTTAAAATTTCAATTGAATAATTTTGTCAATTTATTTAAATCCTAATAACTTATTACTATTGTGTGTATGCTACTTATGTCGACAGACGTAAGTAGTATGCAATACCGATTGGAACTGGAAAACCTGGCATCAGAATGTTAAAGAGCTCGAGTTGAAGAGAATAGAAAGTAATTGTGAACTGCAGGAATTGTACAAGATGTGAAGGACAAACGATATAAATTCGCAAATGAATATGCAGTGTATGATTCTCATCATTCATCAAAAGATTCTGTAATTTTGTATTTCAGTCAGTCAGTTACAGCGTAGGACCAGGCACATATATGTATCGGTCCAAGTTGCCATACCGCATTAGCACAATAAGATGTACACCGAGTTCACTGAAGTAGTTAATTCAATGGTAAAAATATATAAAAGAAAGATTGCTTATAAGGACATAGTACAGGAAGAAAGAATTAGTCTGTACAAAAGAAGATATGAAGCGGCTTTAATCTCAAAGTATAAGGAAGACAGAGAATGTATACACTGACGCCTTTTTGATCGACTCTGAGCCATGTCACAAAGTCTCCAACCATTGGTTACGAGAGTCACGCGAACCCCAACCAAGTAGTCTGCATCTACGAACATGGCTCAAACTAGAATATAGTGGCTTCAAGCACTGATGCCACGTTTTGGTTTGGCCGCCCCTAACTTTCTTCCAATTATCCCCTGCACTAGTCAGCATTGCGCGTCGTGGTAATCGGTGTTCAGGCATACGCAACACGTGGCCCAACCATCTCAGTCGATGAAGATTCATAACCTCATCAACTGATATACCATCATTCCCTAATACCCTGCGTCTAACCTCACTATTACTTACCCGGTGATCCTAGCAGATGCTATCAATATTTCTAAGACATCTGTGATTAAACACTAGTAGCTTACGATTATCGTCTTCTCTTAGTGGCCACGTTTCGCAGCCAGAACAGAACAAACTGCCGCGCAGTAAACTCTTCTCTTGATTGATAGGCGGATATCTCGCCTTCACCATAGGTGAAGTTAGTTGGCAAAAGCCAAACGAGCTTTCAGAGTCCGTGCTGGGATTTCGTCAGACACCAACCCATTAGGGCTGATCAGACTTCCAAGATAAGTGAAGTTGTCAACGCGTTCGACTACTTCACCCCCTATCCTTAGTTCAGGTGTTGACGCAGACCAGTCCTGAAGCAACAAGTTGCATTTAGAGGGAGAGATTTTTATTTTATTTTATTTTAACACATAAGTATAGGTACAGGGAGGCACCAAATACATATGCGCCACACAGATCTCATTGGATATATGTGAGGGCTATGATACTGCCCGGGTGCCCAAACCGAAGCAGGTGGTTTTCTTAGGGGACCACACCCCGAGCCTTTGACCTGAAGATCTGATCCACAAAGCAGTGGAGCATCGTGAGGAGATGCAGTCCCATGGTAGCCGGTGACCAACGATTGGTTCATATGCCATTTGTTCCCGCAGGATACTGGAGCCCATGTGCACCATTGGTTTGGGATCCGGTTATAGCGCCAGACATTCGCTCTTCGTCCTCTCATTTCCGTAAACAACACCCCCGCCACGAGAAGATAGTGAGTAGGACTTCCGTGGCAGGGGCTATGTACGCGTGGCCATGTGAGAGCATTTCGAGAGGGAGAGCGGACTCCCCCCACTCTCGGCGATACCAGGGCATTTGGGGGCATAGAGGGAGAGAAGCGCATCCCAAACATTCTGGCATTGTTGCTCAGTGCTATCAAAAGACTGCATTTTATCAGCGTCTTCACCAAGTAGGATTATATCATCTGCGTATTCGAAGTCGAAAAGTGGACCTCGTTGTAGGAGATCAATACCCGAAAATTCAGTCGATGAGAGCATTATTTCCATCAATAGATTTATGATGAAGTTGAACAAAAGTGGAGAAAGTGGACAGCCTTGACGGACACCACTTGAGGTTACAAAATCAGATGACAGTTCACCATAAGTTCTGACTCGACTAGTAGTGTTCGAGTAAAGAGCGTTCACAAGGTTTATGTACTTCTGAGGTGTACCTTTCAATGACAGTCACGGCCACAGGGTCTCGCAGTCTACAGAGTCAAATTCTGCTTTTAAGTCAAGGAAGACTAACATTGTCGGAAGCCGATAAAAAATTTTATTTAGACATAATCGGTTGTTCTCACCTGTTTTCTTGTTTATTATACTACTACTTTAGCTGCCTACTGTTTTCTACTTATGCTTAAATAATTTCCGCCTATAAACCACATTTCGATTAATTTCTTTCTCATCTATTTTATTATTACAGTTATTTTGCCAACCAAGCGTAGTTTAGAAATATTATTCCTCGTATGTATATATTTACCGGTCTTTTTCACGTCTTACTTCCTCAGTTTTCCTATCTCTTTTCCCTTCATTTTCAGTGTTTATTTTGTGGTTTTCATAATAGTCTGGCGCGTTCAGCAATGATGCATTTAAGTTGTGAAGAAACATTGAAATCATGTCATGGTTCAATTGTTGAAATGTTAAATAGAAATATTACAGCACTTGATTTACGACAAGATAAAGCATGCTTTTTCAAACGTAACGAGCAAGTGTATACACGTCCGGGTTATTTTAAATTCATGCCATCCAAAGAAGATATTGTAAGTGTATATGTTATCTATACTGTTGTGTTTCTATTAACTTTACATGTAATTGATTTTGACAATTATCACTAGTAACTATGACGATAGTGTTGTTATTATTATTGTTCAAACATAAAGCTCCCATTGAATTCTATTCAATTAATCTACATAAGTATTGTATTTTGATTTGTTAGTTAATAAAATGAATGAATATCTGATTGATGGATTGTGGTGGTCGGTGTTCGATATATTCCTTAAACTCCGTATACAGTACGTCTCGGTAACCGTCACCAAATAATGCTCCAACGGTATATTAATCAGAAGGCGAATACGAAGCGTTAATTACGTTTATTAAGGGACCACACACAGATATCCAAAATTACAGATGCGTTAAGCAAGCATGAAATAGTTGTGCCGAAAGGCAAACAGGCAAGCGATCGAGCGAGAGAGAGCAAGGGCAAGAGCGAGCGATCGAGCGAGTCATGAATATGAATAACATGGACATATATATACATAGTGAAATGAATGAATCATCGAGTCAATTAAGCGGTTAATAGTAAAGCTAGTAGCGTGAATAAATGCGTAGGCAGTAAGGCTTGCTGAGCATACGTATTCATACAAGGATAACAATAATAAAGGTACATACATTCGCAACAGTAATAAGGATACAATGAGTTATTATAGTGCAGGTGACTTTGTCCGTTTAATAAGCTAATAAAAGGGCTTAACAGAATTAGGTGAGAGCAAACTCAATTGAATGTGAGTTGCTATAGGATAAATTTCAGATTAAATTGTCCTGTGCTATTGAATTTGGATATTGTTTTACATTTAGTTTTAGAATCTATGTTCCTCTCTATACATTCAATGCATCAGTTGTATTTATTAGTATCCTGTTAAGTAACAGTGTTCATTCCATAATGATGATTCCAAGTTTACCTTTAATATTTCAGCTACCACACCCTTATTTCACGGGGTGCCGAACTAGAATAGCCATATATGTTTTCTGATTTTAATCTTTTTCATGCGATTTTGTTGTGTTGTAAATTTCCATATTTGGAATAATAATGACGTATACGCTCTCCTAGATGATTTCGTTTGTCAGTTAACAGTAATACATAATGATACGATTTGTATTGGTGATGGCTGTAATTATAGTTGTATTTTCTTTCATTCTATCCATTCCCCATCTTTACTGAAATATTTTTTATCAATGAAATAGTTGTAGTGATATGCTTTATTTGGTTTGTGTTTTTGACCTTTACAAATTTTAGAACTAGGTGTTTTTAGATAAATATTTATTTTACATACTGGTATAAGGTGTAGTATTTGCCTGATGCACTCATGATTCCCGTTCTTCTTACTTTTTAATGGAAAATCACAGTGCAAACTAATAAATATGATATTTTTTATTACTTTTTAACTTGTATGTATTTATATATTGCAAATATTTACTGGATTTTGAATTTTAGGAAAATGTTTTAAATATTGATACTTTGTATCATTAAATAAATCAGTGCGTTATATATTTAGGCTTATATTCGGTGTTGAATAATTACAATTATCTGGTCGTGCTTCTATGTAATTCAATTTTTTGAAGTGTTTTTTGGTATTTATTCAATTATCAGTTTTTTTCTGTATTATTTGTCTTTCGTAATTTACAAACCATGCTAAATTCGATAAAAACGTTTTCGATAGTCTGTAGATTCACAAAAAGTAATTTGAAAGAATTTATTATTAACTCACTAACAAGTGTTGATTCATGTACTCATAGCCTTCAGTCATACTTAATTTGCTAGATCTGTTGAATACTACCCAGTTACCCGAACCGTAGTAGATGAAGTTGAATGCCGTTCCACTCAAACAGGTATGGAACTAAAGTCCATAACTGTCAGATGATGGCTTAGCTATTAACGCACTCATTTTTCTACCTGTAGGTTATAGGTTCGAATCACTCACCCGCCTACTGTAGTTAAGGCAAGTAGATAGTATATCTAGCAAATTATTGAAATAGTATGGCTTAAATTTGTGTGCATAAAAGTTGTACATATTAAACTAGCTACACAATTTTCATCTGATTATTATTTATCATTTATGCAGACTGGTTAAACTATGTTATACAGTAGTTTGTCGCTGTTATATTTTTATCTCCTGAGAACGTATACGTATTAGAGGAATTGCAATTGGCAGTGTATTGTTTTCAATTTATTACTACTTTTATTGATTAGGATAATTGTATGTTGATAAATTGATATCTTGACGACGAACTACTGATCATTATCAATATTGTATTATTGTACTCTAAAGAATTTTTATTTATATGTGCGTTTACTTTAGCGATGACTGTATGAGTAAATACTTTTACATATTATTTTTTATATATTCTTGTATAACTTGATTTATTATTTACTTGAAACAAAGTCAGTTTTTAGGTTCGCTTAATGATGAGTACATTTTGTATTTATATAAACTATATTTTCATAGGAAGATCATATTCGTCCAGATGGTCCATTGTATGATGAACTTCAAACAACAGCTAGTCAACTTACAGCTAGTATCGAAGCGCTCCGGGTATCGACAGATGAAACTTGGAAGACACTAGAAGAGGTAATTTTGTTATTTTATTTCTATGTATATTTGTTTCGATTAAACTAGATTGCTGTGTTAATTCGTACATTTCTTCACATTTCTCAGTTGATCTGATTAATTGAATTTTATCTGTTCAGCGATACGAACTAAATAATGCCGTTGTTCTTTTACAATTATTGCTTGTTAGTAGTTTGTAGGTACTTAGTTTTTTTTTAAATTTTGTACAATCAATCAAAAAATTATGAACCGGCATCAAAATATATCCTAGTTTTTTGAATAGAATTTTCCTCAATGTGTTGTCATCAGCTAGAGAATGATTGAAAATTTAGGGGATATTAGTTAATTGTTTTTTTTGTAGATTTTATTTGCGATCACTTAGTAATAAACACCTGTCTATCAAGTGCATACAGGATTCAACCTGTTGACCATGTAATCAGTGTAACGTGTTTTTTAAATGATAAATTTGCAATACAATAGTTCACATTTCTAACTTCAATCAATTTATTCTGCAATACAATCCTCATCCCACGTCATTGGTAATTTATTGTTTCACAATATAGGTGAACGAGATAAAAAAAGGCTTCGAGAAATTCCTCTCGCAGTTAATCTTTAGTATGTCGAATGTAACTCTACAATAACCCTTTATCTTATGAGCTCAAGGGTAAATTTTGTTGATATATGTACCGAAAATATCGACGTAACCTATGTGGTAAATCTGTTAAAATATAATGGATAAATTTATTATTATTATTTATTTAAACACATAAACCTCGGTACAAGGAAGCACCAAATGAATATGTGCCACACAAATGATTCGATTTGTGTGAGGGCTGGAATACTGCCTGGGCTCCCAGACTGAAGCAGGTGATTTTCTTAGGGAGCCACATCCGGACATTCGACCTAATGGTCTGATCCACAAGGCAATCGAGCAATGTAAGGAGATACAGTCCCATGGTAGCTCGTGTCCAACGATTGGTTCATACACCATTTGTTTCCTTCAGAATCCTGGATCCCGTATGCACTACTGGTTTCGAGTCAAGGTTTTCCAACTCCCCAAGGTGGGTCCTTCGTATCCACCGACCCAGTTAAAGTGACGGACATTCGTTTTCATCCTTTTAGTTTCGTAAACAACAGTAATGCCTCGAGAAGGCAGTGAGTAGGACTTCCCTGGAAGTGGTTGTATGCACTTGAACAATTTTGTAGGATTTAGTTCTATTTGAATTCAGATTTCAACTCAATAGTCTAAATGTCTCATACTGGTCACCATATCTGAATGTGTATGGATGCGAATTTTTCAAATGAGTTCCAAATTAAATTGAAACAAATGTCCATTACTCCTTTATATTCATTGGTTTCTTATCTTTCTTATTCCTGTCTTTAGTGAAAATTATCTATCAATTAACAAGCCATTACAATTCATCTTTCTAACTCGTTATTAGGTCTTGCTTGTATGTATGTATTGGATCTGAAAGATGGTATATTTTATCGATCGAAATTTTCCGTTAGACGAGGTTATTACTAAAGTCTATTTTTTTCCATTTCAATGTTATAATTTATAATCTGTCAGACAGATACCACTAAACCACTAAACCTATACAAATTATCAACGATATTTTCATTCATTTTTTCCTATGTTGATGTTGTTTGTTGTCATAGCCTTTTTAATGGATATAGTATTAAACCAGTGTGTATTTATTAGAAAGCAAAAATAATTAAATATACAATTCGTAGGAATATTGTTTTCGCTATTGTTTTTTCTTTTAAACTGCATTTATTGTCATTATATATGTAAATTATATTTGAAACAATCTCAGCGATTGAAATTTAAAACAATTCCAACGTTTCGTCCAGCCAACTTGTCTGGAATTATTTTAAATTTCAATCGCTGAGATTGTTTCAAATATAATTTACATATATAATGACTTCTCTATACTCGGCGTCCAATATCTGTCAAACTATTCGTTCTAATCTTGACGAATATTCGTATAAATGCATTTATTGTGTTGTCTATACTAGGTTGTGCTTTTTCAAAATTGTTTTGATGATCCTTATCTCAATGAATGCACTCACCTAGATATTCCATTATGATTGTACCATAACGTTGAGCTTTTTCTTGTTAATTTCTTTCTTTGCTGTACGTTATACTTCGAACCCTTATTTGTTTGTACACATACTTATTGAAAGTGGAGTATATAATATGCGATCAGTTTTGTTTCATTGTTTATGACTATCATACAGGGAAAATATAAAGATTTTGAACAACGATTCACTATCTTAGATGACGATAAGATACTGTGCTTCTGTTAGTCTGATGAAGTTTTTATTAAGGATGTTCAGAATATCGTCAAACTTTTTTGACCCGTTGTTTTTCAAAGATGAGTTTAGAAATCAGTTTTGTTTAATAATTAAAAGGCGGTTATGATGTTACGTAAGGCAGTGATTGTTTGTTTGAATACCATGTGACTAAAATTCTGTTTTTTGTCAGGGAGTAAATCCTTCATCGATACAATCATGAAACCTTATGTTTATATAGAATGGATGGGATTTGTCTAGCAGTAGAATCCATTGCGCAGGTTTCGTCCGGTTTCGGACTCGTCAGCCGATTGCACCTGCATCCCAAATTTGACGTTCACTCTAGGATTCGGACCAAGTACTTTTTACTTCAGAAGTCAATCGGTTATCCACTTAGCTACCAACTCCACATAACTCCTCACTTTTACGAGTGTGAATGTTAGTTTAATTTGTAATCGGTCGGATTATCCCACTGTTAGTATTTTAATTGAAACTTGATCGGTATTGGCATACTTGCATTCTGCGAATATAATCTGTTTAAACGTTTCATAATGGACATATCGAAGCAATCCACAAAGAATCCAAATGTACCAACCAAGATTGATCAAATTTCAGTCAAAATATAAGTCACGGGATAATCCAAATAATTAGAAATTAAGTTGAAACCCTGTGTTAGTTTATCGTTCGGTTTCCACAATCGCCTATTTTATGTCAGCGACCAATATTCTAGATATAAATAGTAGGATAATTATACCTGAATGTTTATCACATGCATTATATGGGTTTTTTAATGTGTTATTATAGATTTCTAAGCGTTGATCGTGTATTATGGAACTAGCAGATGTGTAATGCTGAAGTCAGGGTTAATATAATGGATAAAGATAGCAAATTGTTTGATACGATCGTGAATCTTCGTTCGGCACAGAATTAATGTTACAGATTATAACCAAGATCTTAAACCGAATTACATAGAAGGATCTCAACCTTTCCATTTTAAAATTTTAGTCGACTACTTAAACTTGTAAATTATCGTTTTAATTTTTCTCAAGAATATTTACTCTCATTACTAAATTTTATTATTGCATGTTTTTACCTAGTGGACAATAGCAACTGAAATACTTGAGTTTGAGTAACGATCTTAAATAAACTGGCAATTATAACATCATTTTTGTTATTACCGTCTAACTACTTCTGTTTGACTTTCATTAAATTTTTATTTCAAACTAGTCTCAATTAATTGATTTCAATGGTTTACAATTGGTCACATATGATTAGTTATACTTTCTCTATATTATTCAGGTACGATACTTATTATTGATTTTATGCTGATAGTTTAGTATCTTATTAATTGGAAATGCATTTTTTTAATCTTGTTATTTGTAGGTTGAAAAGAAGTTATTAGAATTAATTAATCAGAAAGACTATGATGTCTCACGGTTGTTTTGCATTGAAAAGCCTCGTTCAAGACGTTCACTTGTCGGTGTTGGTAGTGGTGCTTCAGCTAGTGTATCTAATAACTTGACAACTTCTAACCCTTTAGGAAGTAGTATGGGTAGTATTGGAACTAGTTCTATTACTTCATCTTCATCTTCTTCACCTGGTACAATCAGTGCTACAAATGTACATTCTAATCAACAGATATTATCTACAAGTGGCCGGAGTACAAGCCCTGGTTTGTTGCCTAGTTCAACAGCTATCGTGAATCAAGACAGTTTACAGGATACTTCTTATTTATCAGCTGTTTCACAGACTAATCATTCAGGTTCAACTACGTTTGGTGGGAACGATCCAACTCAAGCTGGTTTATATCTTCGTCTCAGGTCATTGTTTCGTGATTCTAGAATTGAACAAGAGAAGTTTTATTTAGATGTAAGTAGAATTGGACAGTTTAATTGGTTTTTTCATTTGAGTTTCATCTCAAAATTATTTCATATTGCGAATCATTAACATTCGTGGCGCGTTGTGTTAAAGATATGCTTCTGAATTCCTCATGATTTTTTTCTCGTTTCGCTAATTTATATTTTGTCGAGTCGTATCTTCAATGCCTAATATTTTCTATTACCATTGGTACTGTTACTATCTCTTTCACTTTGGGACTTAGCTCAAGGATTTTAACTCCCTGTGTCAGTGGTATATTATGGCATCGTTAATCAATGTACATATTTCCTAGGTTCTACGTTGCGACTGAATGATTGACGTTAAACACCTCCATTCGTGTATACGATATACATTTTCCTATAGTTCCTTCAATATTAAGTAATTCACTTATGTGTACTATCTGTAGTTATATTAGTGTTTCAGAAACTGCCATCTTCATTTAATGACTAATTAGATCAAGAATTTCCACTTCATCTGTAAATTGGCCGAACTATACAAGCTTCATAAATATCACAAGTTGTCTATGGTTATTGTTGTAGGAATACTCACCTTTCTAATCATTATGAAATAGTCTAGCACTTGCTATTGAATCTTGTAAATTTAAGTCCTTTTTCTGATTAATAATGTTGTATATCATAGATTTCGCATCACATCAATGAGTCATTTTTTGTTTATCTCTATTTGTTTATAATTTGTTGTGACTACAACAGACTTATAAACATGACTTGTCACCTCTTTTTAATACTTGTTCAACACGAATAAAGGTTGGATAGTCTATTAATTTTCACTATTTTGAATAGAAAAAGTAGGTATGTGATGTTTATGAGGGTGGCCATGGCTATTATTGTTATTATTATGACTGGTTTTCTGTATCACTTTATTTGTCACTTGTTATATGTATGTGGTTAATTTTGAGGTCATTTTATGGTATGTTAGTTAGATTTGTGACTCATCCAAAGTGTCTCTTTAAGACCCTGGGTTTTGGTAAGCATTCTGAAAATAGGCATAGCTATCTATCTTTGTCTCCCCTAACTGTTCAAGAAGTTCTATGATTAGGACATCTCTTGCATATTTGAAGTAAATACTTAGTTGAACGATATTGCTGATGCCATTAAATAGCATTAAGATAAGCATGCCCCACTTTAAATTTGTCCTACCTTTCAATATATATAGCTAATTCCAAGTCAGTCAGTCAGCTGCAACGTAGGACCAGGCACGTATATGCATCGGTCCAAGTTGCCATACCGCATTAGCACAACAAGATGAACACTGGATTCATAGAAGTAGTTAATTCAGTGGTGGTAATATATAGAAGAAAGAGTGTGTATAAGGAGATAGTACAGAAAGATAGAATTAGTTCGTAGAAAGAAAGATTTGAAGTGATTTTAATCTCTTAGTTTAAAGGAAGACAGAGAATGTATACACTGACGCCTTTTTGATCGACTCTGAGCCATGTCACAAAGTCTCCAACCATTGGTTACGAGAGTCACGCGAACCCCAACCAAGTAGTCTGCATCTACGAACATGGCTCAAACTAGAATATAGTGGCTTCAAGCACTGATGCCACGTTTTGGTTTGGCCGCCCCTAACTTTCTTCCAATTATCCCCTGCACTAGTCAGCATTGCGCGTCGTGGTAATCGGTGTTCAGGCATACGCAACACGTGGCCCAACCATCTCAGTCGATGAAGATTCATAACCTCATCAACTGATATACCATCATTCCCTAATACCCTGCGTCTAACCTCACTATTACTTACCCGGTGATCCTAGCAGATGCTATCAATATTTCTAAGACATCTGTGATTAAACACTAGTAGCTTACGATTATCGTCTTCTCTTAGTGGCCACGTTTCGCAGCCAGAACAGAACAAACTGCCGCGCAGTAAACTCTTCTCTTGATTGATAGGCGGATATCTCGCCTTCACCATAGGTGAAGTTAGTTGGCAAAAGCCAAACGAGCTTTCAGAGTCCGTGCTGGGATTTCGTCAGACACCAACCCATTAGGGCTGATCAGACTTCCAAGATAAGTGAAGTTGTCAACGCGTTCGACTACTTCACCCCCTATCCTTAGTTCAGGTGTTGACGCAGACCAGTCCTGAAGCAACAACTTGCATTTAGAGGGAGAAAAGCGCATCCCAAACATTCTAGCATTGTTGCTCAGTGCTACCAAAAGACTCTGCATTTCATCAGCGTCTTCACCAAACAGGACTATGTCATCTGCGTATTCTAAGTCAATAAGTGGACCTCCTGGTAGGAGATCAATACCTGAGAATTCAGTCGATGAGAGCGTTATTTCCATCAATAGATTTATGATGAAGTTGAACAAAAATGGAGAAAGTGGACAGACTTGACGGACGCCACTCGAGGTTGCGAAAGCAGATGACAGTTCGCCATAAGCTCTCACTCGACTAGTAGTGTTCGAGTAAAGAGCGTTCACAAGGTTTATGTACTTCTGGGGTACGCCTTTCAATGACAAACACTGCCACAGAACCTCTCGGTCAACAGAGTCAAACGCTGCTTTTAAGTCAAGGAATACCACCATTGTCGGACGCCGATAAGTATGCCTGTGTTCTAGAACCTGACGAATGGTGAATATGTGGTCTATGCAGCCACGACCAGGTCTGAAGCCAGCCTGATTTTCACGTGTTCGCAGCTCACGAGTCTTAGTTAGGCGTCCAAAAATTATCGAAGCTAGTATTTTAGATATTATATTAGTTAAACTAATCCCTCTGTGGTTGTCACAGGATGATTTTGACCCTTTCTTAAATATTGGGACGATAAGTGATTGTGACCAGTTAGATGGGATGACGTCTAACTCCCAGATTTTAGCTAAAATATTAGTCAACCTAATCGCTAAAGCTAGACCACCATCCTTAAAGACCTCTGGGGCCAATCCATCTAGACCAGCTGTCCTTCCTCGTTTCAGATTAACTATAGCCTTTTGAACTTCAGCTAGAGTTGGGGGACCTACTTCAATGTCCCATTCACACTGTCGGAGAATAGAGGGTAGTTGTAGAGTAGCTAAAGGCCAGCTAAACTGCTCCTTAAAATGTTCCACCCATCGTTCTAAGCGTCTGGACTGGGAGCAGATGAGAGTGTCGTCTTTTTCCGAAACAGTTTGACTTACACTTGATTTATTAATTCCAGTTTCTTTTATTAGTCTGTGGAGTTGTCTTGTGTTCCCTATAGGCGCCGCCTTTTCCATCTCTTTTGCTTTCGTTGCCCACCACTGCTCACGATTATTCCTTAGACTTTTGCTTAATCTAGATTTGATTTCTTTACGTTCTTCATCGTATTCAAAACCTGATGGGATGAGTTTGCGAGAATCTATCAGTGCAATAGACCTTGACGAAATCCATTGGTTCTTCGTAACCCTGTGGTTTAAATCACTAGTAGATGTCACTGCTGTTTCCACAGCTGCTTGTATGTCTTTCCAATCAACATCGGGGTCAGTCTCGTTTTCAGAACTACCTAGGTGTGACCTCAGTTGTTCCTGGAACCTACTTTTGGCTTTCTCATTACTCAATTCGGTTCTAATGAGTCTTTTTTGTGTGGCTCTTTTGAGTCCAGTGAGGCGCAAGCAGATGAGTGCTCGTACTAGGGCATGATCAGAGTCCAAGCAGGTACCCCAGAATGAGCGACAATCTTCTATTGACCCTCTCCAACGATGACTGATGGCAATATGGTCTTTTTGAGTCCATCGTTGGTTTGGTGCAGGGGGTCGCCATGTCAGACGATGTCTCTCCTTATGCTTAAAATTTGTGTTTGCTAAAAATAAACGATTGTCTGAGCACAGTTGCAGTAGACGATCACCATTATCTGTTCGCTTTGCCGGAATACTAAAATACCCACCTAAATGTCTTTCTGTTTTGTTTACGCTACCTACCTGGGCATTAAAGTCGCCTCCTACGAGTACTATGTCTGAACGTTTAGCTTTCTGAAGAAGTTCAGAGAGTTTTCTGTAAAATTCATCTTTCACTTCATCCGCACTGCAGTCAGTGGGAGCGTAGGTAGAAATGACGTGTGTCCCTATCCTTCCGAGTTCTTACGGAGCCGTTTAGCCGAACAGCGCATAGACGACTGTTAACGCGGATCCACTCTAATAGCGCTTGTTCCGCCCTCATGCTTAGTGATATGCCTACACCTGCAAGTCCACGAGAACTAGCCATCGGGTCGCCAGATACACGGAGGGTGTATCTCGTTGGCTCTCCGTTTTGCCGAGGTGAGGTCAAGTGAATGACCACACTAGGATCCTGTATGCGTGTTTCGGAGACACAGCATACATCAATGGTACGAGATTTTAGGGTTTTAGCCAAGGAAGCCTGCTGACCGATTTGGCATAGTGTGCGTACGTTGAAGGCTCCAATGTATAGTTTGGAGCGAGGTTTCAGTAGACCTGGGACAGTGTTTTGAGCATTAGAATCGTTGGCTGTGGTGACACTTGAGGAGGAAGCTAAAAGAGGAAGTTTAGTGTATAAAGTCGATGTAGGAGGAATAATAGGAATTGAAGCGGGAGGTTGACTATGAATACAGTGGTCTTGAGTGCTGTTAGAGGTATGAGGGCGGTTATCACTTCCTGGTTGCCCACACAGTGGAAGGGATCTTCTGGAGGTACCTGAAAAGGAAATTGGATTAGAGTTGGTCATAGTGACCTGAGAGCGTGACCGCAGTGCCCAAGGGACAGCTGCGTGAGGTCGGTCACACACGACCTTTTTATGAGTGATTTTTGTGTTAGCTCCGTACTTGTTGAGTCCTTACCGCCGGAGACGGATATCCGTGGGATAAGGCGAGGTGTGCATTTTTAGGGTCGACCTTTTCTGACCCCACCCCTCCTTGTGGGAAGGCAGAATCGCTGTCATGCTGGTTGTCTGAAGGAAACACCTTACTGCTGTCACACCTCTGTACAGTCAGCAGTACGACTTCGCCTTCGGACCTAGGTTTTGTTGCTTTTAGTCTTACCGCTCTTCAACCGACCTGTCTGGCATGGTAGGACCTTGAGGAACGGTTGTTCCAGCCAGTATAGCTCAGTTGCTTCATCACGATAGGCAAGCCCGACCACCACGTCAAGGTAGCAACAACGGTCAGGCTAATTCCAAGGCTTTCATGTCAATCAGTAGTTTGAGTTTTTTCAGATCTTTGGATGATTTAAACACAAATTAACCATTGGGAAACATTGACTCGTTGTAGGAAATGTGTAATGTAAACGTTTAGCTTCTATTGATTAGTCTGAAAGTTGACCTTTTTTGAAATTTCATGACTGACTACATTTCTTCCATTCAGATAGTACATCTTTTTGAATATCGTGTTTTAGTTTGTCAGCGATGTCCCATGCATCGCACTCTATTTATGTTTAGTCAGAGGTGGGGGGATTTAATTGTGAACAAGGTGATCTCGGATGCATTAGAAGTATGAGGGTGGTTTTCACTTCCTGGTTGCACACACCGTGGACGAATATTTCTTGTTAAGGGACCTGAAGAGAAAACTGGGTTAGTAGTGATTTTAACGACTTGGGAGCATAACTGCAGAACCCGAAGAAAACTGCTTGAGGCCGGTCGCGCATGAACCTCTTTATGGTCAGATGGCCTTACTACTGGATTTGAAAATCCGTGGCATAAGGTGAGGTGTGACATTTTTAAGATCATCGTTTTCTAACTCCTTTGCTTTGTGATTAGGCAGTATCGCTGCAAATGTTGGTTGTCTGAGGGAAACACTCTACTGCTGTTCCACTTCTGTACAGTCACCAGTACGACTTCGCCCTCGGTCCTTGGATTTGCTGCTTTTAGTGTTAAAGTTCTTCAACAAATCTCCCTTGCATAGAAGAACTTAAAGAAACATGCCTTCCATCCAATAGCGTTCGGTCGAGTCATCACGGTAGGCAAACCCGACTACCACGTCAACGTAGCAGCCATAGTATCTATTTGCATTCTTTATGACCTGGTGTCATTTCTGTTAACTGAAAAATTAACATGAAGCATTTAGCTAATGATATAAACTGACATGGGTTTCTCTACTTGACTTTTTCAGTCTTCATAAATACTGACTGTTGCAGGTCATTTCGTAAGAGCACTGGTTATACTACACGACTACAATATAATTATCTAAGTAGTTGTAATATTTCATGTTGAAATTTTGACCTTATTCTATTTAAATATCATACAAAACAAAACTATTATTAATATTTTTTGGAAAACATTACTATCATAAATTTGTGTTATACGGTGTTGATTTTCAATGATATTTCAACTTCGATCGGTCTACGATAAATGCAACCTATTTATTAGTAGAATGTTTAATTAAGCCTATCTATACGGCTGTATATAATGGTAAACCATATTTTTCAATATGAAATTCAATAATTGCAATGTCATTCGATTATTCTAATTATGGTAGAGGCGTAGAAAGGGTTTTATATTAATAACTTATTAATTTTTTAAAGTTAAATGTCTGAATTATTCAGTGTCTATGCCAAGCACATTTACTTTTCAGTTTAACTAATGTGTATACATTGATGTACTTTTTATTAATAATTAAGCAAGATCATATCATAGTAGCATTTATCTATTTATTATATTTAAATAATTCTATTTTCATATTGTATAAAGAATATATATTAATAACTATCTATTAATATTAACTTAATCATCGGTCTTAGAATTACATTCAATTAAATTGTCTAATCATTTTTAGCCAGAAACTTGTAAAATTTCAATAGTCCAAAATATTTAAAATTACACATCTTATTTTAAAAATTAGCGGTATATGCTGACAGATATAAGTGATATGTAGCGCCAATCGGATGTGGAATGCCCATCAGCAGATTGAATTGAAGAGAATAGGAATGTAAATAGAGAACAATTGTAATAACAGCAGAATTAAATGAATCATGAAGCACTTAAATGACAAGTGGTGGGAGATGTGCAAATGATGTATTTAATGTATGATTTTCGTATTTTAATGTAAGCATTCCGTAATTTTTCATTAAACAATAATTTGGTTATATCCACCTGAGTTCGCGTTCACTAAAATTACAGTTAATCTAATACTAATTTATTTGGTGAAAAAAAGATTTTCAGCGCTCTTCGTGTATATCTACCCTAGAATTTCTCCCGGTGATTTTTTGTTTACTAAGCGAAGTAAAAAAAGAAAGTGAGAAAGATTAAGCATTTTTTTTCTTTCTATTGTGTTGTGATCTCCAGGAGCTATGTTATTTTGATTTGATAGTTATGTGAAGTTCACTTTCTATTTTAGTAATTTGTGAACTGCACTTTTAGAGTCTTTGAAAATCAATGTTATTATTGATAGCGTACATGTTTATGTCATTTCATATCCATTGCAGTTTTTATGTTTACTACGAATTATTGTGTTGTAATTGACTATATGACATTTTTGCGACTTCTCTTAATGTTTGTCAAGTTGTTTTTATTATATATTTCTCCTGGAATAACAATGTTGTCTTTCGTTACTTCTTTTTTGTCAGAGATTTGCACACTATACCCAAGAAATGCATATTTGTCAAATAATGCAAGTGAAACTTGCACAAATTCAAAATGCACTAGCTTCTTCACAACCAAACTCACATGAATCAATACCTCAAATATCGCCATCTCAAAACCTGAAATCTATGCTTCGACATGGTATACCTGTTTTACCAAAACTACCTGGACATAATAAAGAGTTTACGAAAAATTTCAAATCTCCAACTTCACCAACTTCTAGTCATTCGAAAATCGATAGTGGTTTCTCATCGTCACCACCTCCACCTCCACCACCTGCTCCTACTTTTACTTCACAAAGTTTTCATCAAGATTTACTTAATTCACCTATTCTTGCATCATCATCTCATTGTGATGTAACATCAACACCTGTATCAAGTCCTTCCTTTTCCAGCCATGCTGTAAGTCCTGGAAGTCAATCTACTCTAGTCAGTAAGCATCAAGCACGTCGTGTCCTTCGTGTACCGAATGTTGGTAAACCGAAACTGTTTGGTGGTACCATAGATGAATATGTAGAAGCTACTAAGCAACCGATCCCTCGCATTGTATTATCTTGCATTCGTGTTATTAATGAATATGGTGAGTTTTAAATGTGAAAATCTTTTTACCCTGTTAGGTGCGGTTGGGACATGTGTTAGGTATGCCCAACGACCTCCTACCTCGACAGGCAGTGTTTCCTGGCATAGAACTAGACTATAATGAATCAAGGGGCAGCCAAACCAAAACAGGACATGACCCCATGAAGTCACTAGCGATTGGACTGAGCTATGTTACTAGGTGCAGTTTATCTGGTTGGAGTTCGGGGGTTCATCGTAACCAATAGTTGGATATATTGAATGTCATGGTTCAAAATTGTTTGCAACAGTGTAGGTACATCTATTCTTTGTTTCCTCCTCAAATTCTGAGATTCTAAATTCCTGATAACTATTTTTGTTTTTATTGCACTAAATTATATTTTTCTTTGCGTGTTATATCTTTTATGCCTTATTTTTGCTATTACCACTGATACTTTTATTTTCGCTGTTATTCTTAGATTTGTCCTGACAGCTTCATCTTGGTGTGCTAATGAGGTACGGCAAATTGAACCGATGTACATACGTACCAGGTTTTACGTTGTGACTGATTGACTCTGTTAGATTGAATAACATTTTTCTTTTCTCCTCAACACTATTCATTAAAATAGTTTGAACAATTTTGGTTTATTACAAAAAATATCTGTAAAATTAAACAAATGTTCTTAAACCACCTAATTAAACAGAAATAATATTATGTTGAATACATCGTTTTTTCTAACTGGAGGGGAGCGAAAGAGAGCAAGAGAGATGTGATCCATTATTCTCATTTCATTATTAACTTGCTTTTTCTTTTCTAAATGCTAATTAACTAGTTGAGGTGATATCAATTAAAACATTCAACTGACTATATCAAGCAAGCTTTCATTATCTGTTTTAGATTTTTAATGTGTATCTGTTCGTTTTCTATCTGCGATTTATTAGAGATTATTATTATTATTAATGTTATTAATATTGGCTTTTTGATGTTTTCTTTCCTTTTAAAAATAGTATTCTGATTTTTCTAGTTATTTAGTATCGTTAATTTTTCGTCAGCTTGCATAAATAAACTCTTTCCACTTGATCTCTTAAGTAGAGAGATCTGGGAGGTTATTTAATTGTTATTTTAAAAACAAATTTGTGTTCATTATTGTTATTATTATTATTATAAAATTCAATTTTTATTCAATCCGTAGGTAAATTTCTTTTGTTCGTTCATCAATCTTCTTTTGTGTTAAATCGGTTGATATAAACAACAATTTTATCTACCTGTGTGTATATATGTGTATGACTGCGCACTTCTGTCATCATTAAGTCCTAAAAAGAAAGAAAATTTTCTTCATGCAAAGAATAATTCTTTGTTTATTTTTCTAACAAATAAATGTGTCATTATGATATGACCAACAAGTGAGTGTGTTTGTGTTTACATTTCTAGAAGAAAATTATTGGAATAATAACCATCAGTAGTCAATCCACCATGTGTATTTTATTTTAAAAGTTTGAAATGTCAGGATGTTGTAGTCGGTAATGTAAATTATTTGATTTGTAAATGTCTGTGTTCATCTAGATGTCTTCTCTACACTGTTTGCAGTATGAAGCTTCATTCAAAGTTTTTTTTGATTGAATTGATTTAATACTGTAATACATTTTCTCTTTGGTTTGTTACTGCTGGTTATACTACTGTCTTTGTAGGGATGCTTGACATTTTTTTCAATTATTATTGCTTTGTATGTATGTGTGCAATTAGGTAGTCATCGTTGACTAGATTTGAGATAAATAACTTAGTAGACAGACATGCAGAAACATGTGCAGATTTTAATCTAAAAATTAAAGTGGAAATTTTCCAGTCGATGTTATCTTTTTCTTACTATCACTTATACTAATACTTCTACTTATTTAATATTTATTGCATCACATTACATCAGCATAATGAAATGAATTTCATCGCTTTTGTCCTGATGTAATGTGACAAGTTTTACCATTTCATATGTATCTTCGGGTTCTGTGTTACTTTGGACTAACTACTAACATGCAACACCTACACTACAAATCCACTCAACTGTAGTCGTATTTTTAATTTTTGGTTTTCATCGGACTTCAGTTATACTCTATTCTACAAGAGATACCCTAATTCAAATGATCTCTGTATTGACTAATTATCGACAGTAATAATCCATGTTACCATGGTTATATTTTGATGCATTCTTTACCATGGTATTTCTTTTATATTTCCTAGTTTATGTACTTGTCAAGTTTGTTTTTGTCTGACTTACTTTTCAACAAAAAACTATCTGCTTATTTATAATCAATAAGAATATTGTGGAATATCAACACAGTAATAAGTAACCCTTAAACAGTATAATTCTCTAAAAGTTTCCTTCATTCGCAATCATAGGTTTCTTGTTTTTATCCAGAATTATATTTTGAGTCTTAATTCTAACATAAAACGTTGGTTTTCGGTATGTATGTTCTACTAAACTTTTGACATGGGAATAAATCCAGGATTATTAAACTTCATACTTACGAGGTGAAAATAATGCCACCACATAAAATTTATGTACGTAATTTCCATTCTGATATCATTTGGAAAATAAACAATATACTCTTGGTTATAAAGTTCCAACCATCTCAGTACGTTAATTCCGAGTTTTCTTACGATTGACTTTAATGAATTAAAGGCAAAGCAATCTGCACCATTATATTGAATTACTTAGTCCTGTAAATATATCCCATGTGCAATAGAATTCTAACTACACTGTGAAGTAGAAATGTCATTAGTTATTACTCATTGTAAACATCATAACCCAAATAAATTAGTGTTTGTTTATAATGTAGACATTATTTGACGTGAGATTGAATTTCACAAGATAGTAGATATGTTTTATTAACTAGTGAGAGCCCCCGTATATTCTGCGCCAATAGTTTTCTTACTGATTACCTTCAACCACCTAATATTACTAAATATTTCGTACAGTATGGTAGTTTTTATGTGATTGATTATTTGCTTCAAGGTTTGTCTTAAATAGTTCCATTGAGTTGGATGGTGTATGTTTAGTTCTCGTTAATAGGCTTGGTCGGAATCCTACTGCACAATTCTTTAACTTAAATTATGTATTAACTGCCAAATGTTTACGCAATAAAATGTTAATGATTATTGTGAATCGTCCTTACCAAGTTTAATGTCGAATTTTCGACAAAATACCGATGACTAACTACATGTATTATACTCTTTTACGAGTTACCTAGCCTATACAGAATGTTGCCTAATTCGTTCTTGAAATTTTAAAATATCATTCAATTTTCATTGTATTTTGTGCATTTCTTATTTCAGTTTTTTCTTTTTTTAATTTCCAGGAATGCATCAACAAGGTGTATTTCGTGTTTCTGGTAGTCAGGCAGAAATTAATGACTTTAAAGATGCTTTTGAAAATGGAGATGACCCTCTGGTTGGTATTCATGAAGCAAGAGATATAAATTCAACTGCTAGTCTGTTAAAATTATATTTTCGTGAACTAGGCGAGCCTCCATTCCCAGATACCATTTTCTTAGAACTTATAGACATAACACGTAAACGTAAGTAAGCTTTATATATATTCGAGATGATTCTAAGGGTGAATTGTCCCAAATAATTATTCATATATGTTGTTTTTAATACCTCTGTTTGTGCACATGCCAATATTATTGTTCATTGTGATTTTATTTTCGTGTCATATCATTGATGCTTAACCTGCTAATACTATTACTGCTTTTACTATTCTGGGATTTGGTTTGACAACTTCATCTCTTTGTTCTAATGAGGTATGATAACTTTCACTGATTTACGTACGTAACTTCATACTGTCAGGAAGTCAAATATTTCACTGAATTACATAACCCGAAAATCTTTCTGTTGAATTACATATAAACTATTCTCATCATAAATATAAGCAGACTGACATGGGTAATGTGTTTTGCGAACATTTGCACGCATTGTTGTTCTTGGTTTATTTAAGCGTTTAGCATAAACCAATTACATGAAACAATTGGACTATTGAAAATCATTGTTTTAAACCTAGTTGATTTACATGTGTGTATACCGTTGACCATAAACTCTTTACAATTGTTTATACAGTTAGCGAAATTTAATTGATACTTCAACGAATTAAATAGGCTTTATAATGACTTATAAATAAAGATATATATATATATATATATATATATATATATATATATATATATATATATCATTTATAATGATGAATATACTGTACAAACGATTTTTGATCTCTACGTCAATGTCATAATTGAACTATTAGAATTAATTATATTGTGTGTTGTAATGTTTATATCTTGAAATGTTTAGTTGTAATACGACTCTGATGATGATAACGATTTTGAGATAGGCAATTAAGCCAGCTTTAAACGAATTCGATTAGATGTTTATATAGTATGTGTCTAGTCATTCAAACAATGTATTATTATCTATGAAATTGACGTTTTGCAACTTGGTCGATAGGATTTGATCTGCACTATGAAGGATTTGAAATACATGACATTGATCATAAACTTTTCATACCAACACAGCTATTAGAATAAATAGTCTAAGAATTATTACATTTCATTATGATATGTGCTGGTATGAATGTTTCATATTTCAACTGTTTTAATACAAAAGTAATACTTCATGCTGTGAGATGCATAATTAGTATATTTTATACATACATGGTAACAAAATGTCCATGTGTAATAAGCGGTGAAAGAAATCAACTTTCATCTACATAGATACAGGTTCGAACCCTACTCGATCTATTTTAGTTTCTCTTATCAAGTGATGGTAATGAGTATTCTCACAAAACGTGTTTGGCTCGTAAAGTGAGTTAATGACCTGGATCACTGATTTGCTTGAAAAACGATTACTATACACATCATTTAAGAAGAGTAGGTCAGTTAGTTTTCTTAACATAAAATAATATCTTGCACAAATGGAAATTTCTCTACTAATATTCTTTAATACTCTCTAAAATATTTTCAATAAAACAATTGACCTGAAATGTCTTGCCTAATTTATATTCTGATATATAAGGTGAATAACTATAGCCATTACATACACTTCTATTGACTTTAGCAATTATAATGCACTGTTAATAATATAGTAAACTGTTCAAAAAATTAGGTCAAGGCGAGAGAATCATTAATAAAGTGTGAAGAATACATATCCAACACAAATACATTTTCTAAGCTTATTCAAATTCTCATCAGTTCACTAATGGCATTGATTTGCTCTTATTTCTATGCGTATCCTTTGTCAGAAACAAAGTGGGACCGGACGCAGTATTGAAGTGTATTTTCCCAGGTTGTCAAACTCTATTAGTATATATATAGTTCTCTTAGCTATATGGCTTTATTGTGGAGCTTTCGTTATCGCTCTAGAAGTAGCTCTCTTAGACTGGATCCCAGTAGACAGTTGTTTGTGTGCTGTCCGACTAAACGGAACAGTAAGGACTCGGAAAGATAGGGATGCCCCCAAATGCCCTGGTACGGCCGAGAGTGGGGAGAGTCCGCTCTCCCTCTCGAAATGCTCTCACATGGCCATGCGTATATAGCCACTGCCAGGGAAGTCCTACTCACTGCCTTCTCGTGGCGGGGGTGTTGTTTACAAAAATGAGACGACGAAAATCGAATGTCTGGCGCTTTAACCGGACCCCAAACCAATAGTGCACATGGGCTCCAGTATCCTGCGGGAACAAATGGCGTTTGAACCAATCGTTGGTCACTGGCTACCATGGGACTGCATCTCCTCACGATGCTCCACTGCCTTGTGGATCAGATCTTCAGGTTAAAGGCTCGGGGTGTGGTCCCCTAAGAAAACCACCTGTTTCGGTTTGGGCACCCGGGCAGTATCATAGCCCTCACACAAATCAATTGAGATTCGTGTGGCGCATATGTATTTGGTGCCTCCCTGTACCTATATTCATGTGTTAAATAAAATAATAAAAAAAGATAGGGACACTCCTCGTTGCCTCTTCGTCGTCTCTGCCTACTCTCCCACTGACCGCAGCTCAGATAATGTAAAAGATGAGTTTTACAGAAAGCTTTCCGACCTTCTCCGAAAAGCTAGGCGTTCAGATGTAGTAATAGTGGCTGGTGACTTTAATGCTCAAGTAGGTAAATTAAGCGAATATGGGAAGACACCTGGCTAGATCTTATAGTGTCGCGGCTCAAAGAACAGATAATGGCGACCATCTGTTGCAGCTACGCTCAGATAGCCGCCTGTTTCTTGCAAATACTAACTTCAAACGTAAGGAAAAACATCTTTTCACATGGCGACGCCCGAATTCGTCCCAACGCTGGACCCAAATAGATCACATCGCTATCAGCCACCGATGGAGGGGCTCGATTGAAGACTGTCGCTCATTCTGAAGCACATGCTTAGACTCAGATCATGCTCTGGTGCGAGCACGTATTTGTCTACGTCTTACTGGACGTAGGAAACATGCTGCAAGGAAACCCCTTAGGGTTCTACTTAATGATAGTCAAGCTAAGAGTATATTTCAGGGACAACTAGAAAAACAGTTAGGCAGCCATGTAAGTGACGTCCACCCCGAGGCAGCGTGGAATGACATCCGAAAAGCTGTAGAAACAGCAATGTTATCTGCAAGTACGGTAAACCATAAGGTTAGGGAGAAACACTGGATCTCAGCAGTATCTACCGCACTGATAGATGCTCGAAAACTCATTCCATCTGGCTCTGAACATAACGAAGAGCGGAGTCAGCTTAAGCGTAAGCTGACTAGAACAGTGGTGGGTAGCGAAAGCAAGAGAGACGGAAAAGGCAGTGGCAATAGGTAACAGCAGGCAACTGTTCAGACTTGTTAAGGAAACCGATATTAGGAATCCAACTGTTAGCGGAAAAATCTCAGAGAAAGATGGACATATTATTCATTCTCAATCCAGGAGACTGGATCTATGGGCAGAACACTTTAAGGATCAGTTCAACTGGCCTTCAGCCACACTTCGGTTTCCCACGATCTCCAGTCGACCTGAATAGCAAGTTGATGTAAATCCTCCAACTCTTTACGAAGTTGAAAAAGCTATGGGAAATCTGAAGCGTGGGAGAGCAGCAGGTCCTGACAGGTTTACCCCTGAGATTTTTAAGGATGGTGGTCCAGTATTAGCAGTGAGATTGACTGACGTCTTAGGTAGAATCTGGGAACTGGATGTAATCCCATCTGACTGGTCTGAATCACTGATTGTGCCAGTCTATAAGAAAGGACGAAAGTCTTCTTGTGACAATTACAGAGGTATTAGTTTAACTAATATAGTGTCTAAAATATTAGCTTCAATAATACTTCGACGCCTGACGAAAGCTCGTGAAGAGCAGACTAGAGAAAACCAGGCTGGTTTTCGACCTGGACGTGGTTGTATAGATCAGATATTCACACTATGTCAGTTCCTAGAACATAGACACACATTCAGACGCCCCACAATGGTAGTATTTCTCGACCTTAAGGCGGCATTTGACTCAGTTGATCGTGAGGTTCTATGGCAGTGTTTGTCACTGAAGGGAGTACCAAAGAAGTACATTAACCTTATAATGGCTCTCTACTCGAACACAACTGGTCGAGTGAGAGCTTATGGCGAACTGTCATCAGAATTGATTGCCTCAAGTGGTGTTCGTCAGGGCTGTCAGCTCTCTCCATTCTTGTTTAACTTTATCATTGAAGTGCTTTTAGAGATGACACTTTCCTCATCTAAATTTCCAGGAGTTGAACTTCTACCGGGAGACCCACTTGTTGACTTCGAATATGCCGATGACATAGTTCTATTTAGTGAAGACGCTGACAGAATGCAGAGTCTGTTGACCACTCTTAGCAACAATGCAAGCATGTTCGGCATGCGATTCTCTCCCTCGAAATGCAAAATGTTGCTTCACGATTGGGTGGCATCGACACCCGAACTAGTGATAGGGAGTGAAGTAGTTGGGTGTGTCGACCGCTTCACTTATCTTGGAAGTCTGATCAGCCTTTGTGGTCTGGTGTGTGACGAAATCTCAGCACGGATACAGAAGGCTCGACTAGCTTTTGCCAACTTGCGTCATTTGTGGCGTAGGCAAGATATCCGACTATCAACCAAAGGACGGGTTTACTGCGCAGCAGTTCGTTGCGTCCTACTTTATGGCAGTGAAACATGGCCAGTAAGAGTAGAGGATATTCGTAGGTTACTAGTATTTGATGATAGGTTGCTTCAAAACATTGCTCGTATATCCTGGGACCACCGAGTAAGTAATGCAGTTGTTAGGAAATGGGTCCTAGGTAAGGATGGTAAATAAATTGAGGAAGTAGTAGGTAGGTGTAGACTACCTGGTTGGGGACCGCGAGATGATAGCAACCGATGGTTAGAGACCTTGAATGACATGGCTCAAAATCGTTTGCAATGGCGCAGGTGCATCCACTCTTTGTGTTCTCTCAAACTCTAATCTTCTGTATTCTTCATGTCTTTTGTTTTCTTTCCAAATCTATTCCACTGGACTATACTCCTTGAATAACATCTTCAAACCATAATGTTCCCTATCACTACTTATACTTTCAGTACCTCTACCACTGTGGGATTTAAATCAATAACTGAATCTCTGTGCTAATGTGGTATGGTAACTCGAACTGATGTACGTACGTACGAAGTTCCACGTTGTTACTGACTGACCAATGCATTTTGAAATTCTCTGTAGGTAGAAACGAACCCTCTTGAAAAAATCTTCTAGGTAACTGCCATTACTATTACTGTCCAAATTATTTGGGAAAAAGCAATGTGTTTAACAGAAGTGCTTCAAGTAAATAATGTTTTGTTATAAATCTTCAGCTAGGATGTTTAGATTAAGTAAGCCAAAAATGATATCACAACTAATCATAGAGTTCACTTAATAACTTGTTGATTATTTTCAATCCAGTTGATATATCGTCATCTTGTTTTAGAATATTAAGACTGAGTGGAGGTTTATGCTGTTCAATCTTATCTTACCCAAACAACTAACTTGATATATTGGTAACTGGTTTACCTTACTTTAGTCTCTTAATTTTGCAATGCATAAATCTTATCATTTGTACTAACTATTGTAATAATAGTAATAATAATGACAATAACAATAGTTTTCTCTCCATCAATAAATATTTCATGAAATTCTGGACTTATACGCCTTTTCTTCACAGTGGTAGAATATTATGATGCATACTTTTATTTTCTTATTTTGTTATTGCTATTCAATACTCTGAATAAAAAGATTCATCATTTACTTTTATTTGGGTATTTACTGTTATATTCCTAGACCTATAAATCCATGATACTATATTATTTATTAATAGTTGGGAAGAGAATCAATAGCACAAACCAAATGTTAAAATGCTTTCAAATAATTAGGTGTGGAATAATAAATCTTTCAATATTTATATTAAGTGAAATGTTAGACTATAACTATTGGTTAAACTGACCGGGGATTTCTAAATCCAAAAGTATTCATGTGATAAGTCCAGGAAAAGAAGTTAATAACTGAGCCCTTCACTCTTTAAGACTCATGTTTATTCGATGGAAAATCGAGAATGACAAACGCTAAAGAACTAGTGTGTTCTTATGTTTAGTTCGAAAGATGCTTCTATTTGGATCTATACAATAGAAATATATAATATATTTCTGGTCGACCAATCAATTTTAAATACCACAGGCCTACTAGTGGTCAATAGTAAAGTATCAGATTGTAAAGTCCGATGATGTAATTTTAAATTCTGCAGCGAACATCAATTCACTCAAGACTAACGGTGTTCCTTGCTGATGAGTGCCAGCTGGAACCAAAATCTCTGTCTAGGGTTTTCTGTCGACTACTTACAACTATCTAAAGTTTATTGTTTATTTAAGGCGATGAGTATGGACGTTTTTATTTGTTTCTGTAATCATTGTTAATTGTTATTTTATTTCGCTTTTTTCACCACTTTCTTTTGTCAGACCGGGAAATCAGTGAAATGATTCGACGCTTACGTCATGTGATCACAGAAAATTTGAGTAGACCAGTTTTTGTTGTAATGAGATATTTATTCGCATTTTTGAATCAGTAAGTTATTATGCTATCTTAGTGTTCCGAGTTTTTATTTTCACTAATTATTGTTTGCTAAATAATGTCAGAAGACTGATTCGATCCTCAGTAGTCGTTTTGAGTTATAAATAATGATTTAAGCTTTCAGATAATCAATAAATTTAAGTTTGTTTATGATTATTTGAATGAAAATTACTCAACGATACCATTGAAATAATGATAATTTTAACTTCTTATTGGTCCATGTAAATTTTCATTTGAGTATCAGTAATTTTACTGTTGAAACGAGTCATTTTAAAATGATTTTTCAGTGTGTAAATAATTTTCTTGACAAACTAGTGTAATTTGCAAAACAAATGAAGCATCTCTATGTAGTAACATTATTACCGTACATACACAGGTTAGAACTAAACTATTCTTCAACTGATGTCAGCATGCCATTAAAATTAGTTCAAATATGTAAAAAAGCTCCACAAAACAACGTAAACCAGGTCAATTTAGTTAGGTTTTAGTAACATCTTGTGACCTGTAAGTTCAGCATTGAAACAGTAAACTCGGCTTAAACATCAAATTATTCTACTTTTTTATGTATTGGGCAACTTTATTAATATGAACCATTCAATCTCAACTCAATAATCAAAATTAATCTTACTCGTCATGATATCTGAGGATCATGTGCTTAATTCATTGTGTAGTTATAAATGTGTACATTGTTAAAGAGTTACACCGTTTAAACTGGCTTTTTAATTGATGTCAGTTCAAGGTAAACGTTGATGATCGACAAAATTCGATGGAAAATATGTGATATATCAGGTATAACAACTGGTAGACATTTAAATTGTTTATTTCATTTAATCGAATCTACCAAGTATTGAATTCATAAAGTATAACATATGGACTGCAAATCTAACTACCCTGGAAATAAACGTTGAGTATAACAATAAATACGTATAATCAATAGTTTTCACTACCAATATATGATTAATACTTAGATGATCATAGTTTTCCCATTCAAAGAACGCAAAGTACGAGAATGATATCGACGATGTTTTATAAACAATGCATGTCATAAGATTTTACTTTTCAAATAATAATGATTAGACACAGTGAATATATCAAGGAAATTAAATTCAATAGATTTACATATAAAATGAAATGCGGTTGTTTACCTATCGAAATTTATTCAATACATAAACAAGTATATACACAATGAATTAAACTTTACCAATAACATTTACGCTACAACATTACAACTTGTTAATACATGACAATAAATAATTGTTGAAAAATACTTTAAATGCACGTCCGACATCAACATATACAGGCACACGCATCTCCACACCATAAAGACATATAAATACCTAACAATCAGAGTACTAACAATACATACTAGTTTTTGCAGGAATGGACACACTGTCATACGTTATTAAACTTACAAATATTGTCATAGTTAATGTTCTATTGATTAGAGATAGTATAGAATAATAGAATATTTAATATTAGAAAACATTTACAATCTGAACTGTACTTTACGCGAGCAAATATTATGAATAAATGTCCCTGTGAGGTGGTCGGTTGGCAGTCATGTTACTTTTGTGATCCTGCGTGTATGGTTAACTTAACCAATTTTCTGCTAAAATTTATGCGAAATTATAATGGCAATAAAAGTAATCATAATATTAATCGGTGATTAAATAGTGATTTATATCACAGAAAATAATATTACTTCAAAAGTATATGTGTACCATGCAATTATTTTCTACTAAACAATCTTATGTTGTGTCTCGTTGAAGTCACAAACCGTTCAGTGTTAGACCGCCTTTGAAAACCTGGAGGCACTGGACGATCGTTTCGTCTCGGTGTGGGGCTCCTTAGAGGTGCGTGTTCGCGTCTGTCAGTTGGAATCGAATCCATAGGCTTTTTCCTCGTGCGTAAATTCTTAATATCGAAACCATTAAACTGGCGAGACCGGAGGTTCCGGGTTCGACTCCCGCTTGCGGGGCCGTGGATACTCACTATTCAGGAGTCCCATACTGAGACGAAATGGCAGTCCAGTGCTTCCAGGTTCATGATTTCAAGGAAATTAAAAAATATCGACAACCCCATGCTGATCTTATATTGGCAATTGACTAAAGGCTTATAGAACAATAATTAAAACAAAGATGGTATCGTAGGAAAATCTGTATTTCAGGAAGCTGTAAGCGTAACCAAACTGTAGTAATAAAAGACATGAGCGAGGTGAAATTTTATGCGAAAATGAACGCTTGACTATAACACTCTTGTAAAGTCAAAGCTGCTAGGAAGAGAGTAAAAATAATTCATTCTCGAAAACCATTCTATGTATGAAAAAAAACCCAGTAATTATATCAATCTTAAGTTGAATAACTCGAAAGTGTTATCACTAAACATTGGTTATCAAACTGGTAATTAATGAAGCAATTAGAATTGTTTTAGTGATTAATATTTTTGAAGCTGCGAAAAACTCATAGCATATATTTCATTTCGAACAAACAATCAACAGAACTGCCATGAATATTTAACAAGTTAATGTATTCAGGTTATACTTTTGAGAAAATATGTGAACTGACTCAAATACAAACAATTAAGTTGGATGACTTAACAGTGTACACTTACAACTCCACTAAAAGCCAAATCCAGTGTATTCAGTTATGCTGTCATCAACGATAACTTTTGATCAGTGGTTTAAAATACAGTAATCCATTTTAACGTCAGTCAAATTGTAATCATGCAACTTGATTATCTGACGATAGTATGCCACTTCAGATTTTATAGGCTACAGGATGTCACTGAAACTTCATCAAATTCACCTAGATGCAAGTTGTGAGTAGACGGCGCATGATTATAATTAACTATTATGTTTTGTCAAGTTTTCGAACAAATCGGAATCAATTTTCATGGTATCCTGACATCAGTTGAATAATTAAAACTGAGGTGTTATAGGTTAAGGCTCCATAGTTGTCAATGATTTTACACTTCATATTAATTCGTAAAGAGAATCTCTGTTACATTATAGCAAATATCTATAAATGTAGTCTAGTTAATATTTCAAAATATTTATGAGAATTGTGGTTGATTTTTCTTTTATTGAAACTTTCGATTGTCTTTTCTATTGGTACCAACATCAAGATAAGAACAAAATGCTTTAAATAGGTCGCTAAATAATTTGTGTTTTTATTATTTTTTCTGTAGGATGTTTTCCACTTGAAATTTACTTGTTTTCTTACAATAACCGAATCGCAATTATTTTGAAGTAGCGTTGTATTTGAATGTTAATCTAAGTAATCTATTATGTCAAGAAGCAAGTTTTCGAATGTTAGCTCCACATTTATTATCCAAAATCAAATCATAATGGCACCCATCATAAATGTACTTATGCTTGTGGGTTGTTTCAATAGAAGTACAGCTTTAAATTGATTTGTTATTAGTTTTCGGTGCAGGATCTGTGGAGATTGTATAATTTTCAGAGTTTAAATCACGACACTTAATGATATACATGTCTAACTTCAATCGATTCGCGATATTGCTCGACCGTCTTCCGTTGCCTGCGGTGGATAACTGTCTCATACTCGACATGCTTGTTATTAGTAAACACGGAAATATTCTATTATTTTGAAAGAAGATACTTATTGAGTGAATTCCATTTACTCAACTAGGTACTAACTAGATTTTAGTAATTTAACAATCCTTGCAGTATATTCGAAAATTAAGAACAATAACTTCATCCACCTATGTCGCTACTATTAATACATAATTATTATTGTATTACAGTCCGCAAGATGATGGTTATTTGAAACAAGCTGGATTCATTCCACTATATTCTATGTATTCATAAACATTTATTTTCTATTTTAAGAAATAAGGTCAATAATAATAATGAATGTTTTTAATTTTCCTTTTTTAAATTAGTTGAATTATTCCGTATTCTATTTGTTATTCATAAATGACACAATTTATGGTATGATGTAATGTTTTTTGTACATCAGGTTAAATATATTCATGTATATTTATGTAGACGATTGGTTATCCATTAAGATGAATGATAATCACAGTTTTTTTGCATAACAAAAGTTAGTTATTGCAATCGATTTGCGTAAATAAAGTACTACATGTATGTATGTATGCAGTATGCGTTTTTTTATTGTATGTCTGTGTGATGTTGCAAGTTGAACAACTATTGGTTAGTTTTCACGATATTTTCGTGAAGAATTTGATTAATTTTTACGTTCACCCCGAACCCTATGACCTATTTTTTCTCATTAATTTCATTACTGGATCAAGTAAAATGTATCAAGGGTTGGGTTGCAATACGTTAGTAACTTCCCCTGTATTATTGATTTAACCTTTAATTAATGTGAATGAATAATATGAAATAATTCTGTAAAAAATTAATATAAGCTGAGAAAGAAGTGTGTACGTGACTGTGACAATTTGACAGGTTCATCATACCATAATTTGCATGCAAGAATTAATTCTAACGATGATGACTATCGGTATTTTATTGTTGTTAACGAGTGAATTAATGAGGAGTATATGTTTCTTCGAATTTCATGACAAAGAAACGCATGCAATTTGTTTGAACTAAATAGATATTATTTGAAATGCTATTCATGATTTATATACAAAGATGCATAGTGGCTAGCAGTGGAATCCAGGACGTGCGTTTCGTCCTACTTGGGACTCGTCAGCTGGATGTACCTGCTATTCATGATTCTTTTTTGGAAAGCATGAAAAATAGTTCACAATTAACTAGTGTTTATTCGATTACGTGATTACTACAGGCAAACGCGGAGTAATAATAAATAATGAATTGATTTTTTTCATTTGTTAAATTATTGTTGCGCGTAATGAGGAAGAAAACTAGAAATTTAAACATTGATAGACAGCTTAAATGAAAGTCAATCCAATCTATAAAAAAGCTGGTAGCACTTACAGAACTTACATGTATACTATTAGTGACCGTGTAAACTACTGATAATGTGCGAGCGAATAATTTTAATTGCAAAAAATTATCATTCTAAATAATGATATGTACAAAAAAGTTTTGATCACAAATAATAATTTCACTTTGTAATAGCTTTTCGTCGAAATAATTCCTTTGATTTCGTTGATTAATCACCCTGATAACTTACTTACTTACTTACGCCTGTTACTCCTCGTGAAGGAGCATAGGTCGCTCACCAGCATTCTCCATCCAACCCTGTCCTGGGCAATCCTTTCAAGCTCTTTCCAGTTCTTATTCATCATTTTCATATCTGCTTCTATTTCCCGACGTAATGTGTTCTTTGGCCTTCCTCTTTTCCGCTTCCCTTCAGGATTCCAAGTTAGCGCTTGTCTCGTAATGCAGTTTGATGATTTCCTCAATGTATGTCCTATCCATTTCAATCGTCTTTTCCTAATTTCCTCTTCAGCTGGAAGCTGGTTGGTTCTCTCCCACAAAAGGCTGTTGCTGATGGTATCCGGCCAATGGATGTTGAGTATCATGCGTAGACAGCTATTGATAAATACCTGTACCTTCTTGATGGTGGTTGTTGTAGTTCTCCAAGTTTCAGCTCCGTACAGTAGAAATGCCTTGACGTTGGTATTGAAGATTCTGACTTTGATATTGGTTGAAAGTTGTTTTGAGTTCCATATGTTCTTCAGTTGAAGGAATGCCGCTCTAGCTTTGCCAATCCTCGCCTTGACGTCTGCATCTGAACCTCCTTGTTTATCGACGATGCTTCCCAGGTATGTGAAGGATTCTACATCTTCCAGAGTTTCGCCATCAAGAGTGATTGGATTGCTGTTCTTTGTGTTGTGTTTGAGGACCTTGGTTTTCCCTTTGTGTATGTTGAGGCCTACTGATGCAGAGACTGCTGCTACTCTGGCTGTCTTTATCTGCATTTGTTCGTGTGTATGTGATAGGAGGGCTAGGTCAACTACGAAGTCCAAATCGTCTAATTGGTTCTTAGCTGTCCATTGTATGCCGTGGTTTACCTCAGATGTCGAGGTCTTCATAATCCAGTCAACCACCAGAAGAAAGAGGAAGGGAGAGAGTAGACAGCCTTGTCTTACTCCGGTCCTTGCTTGGAATGCATCTGTCAGCTGTCCTCCATGCACTACTTTGCACTGTAGTCCGTCGTATGAGTTCCGGATAATGTTGACAATCTTCTCAGGAACTCCGTGGTGTCGAAGAAGTTTCCATAAGGTTCTCCTATCTACACTGTCAAATGCCTTCTCATAATCAATGAAGTTGATGTAGAGTGACGAGTTCCACTCAATTGATTGTTCGACGATGATCCGTAGTGTCGCAACCTGGTCTGTGCACGACCGGTCCTTACGGAATCCAGCTTGTTGATCTCAAAGTTGGGCGTCTACTGCGTCTTTCATCCTATTCAGTAACACTCTGTTGAAGACTTTACCTGGTATTGACAGTAGTGTAATGCCTCTGTAGTTTTCACACTTGCTCAGATCTCCTTTCTTTGGAATTTTGATGAGGTGTCCTTCTTTCCAATCCGTCGGCACTTGTTCCTCCTCCCAAATCTTCTTGAATAGAAGATGAAGCATGCTTGTAGTTACTTCGATGTCTGACTTCAACGCTTCAGCTGGTATATTGTCAGGCCCTGCTGCTTTCCCGCTCTTGATTTGTCTGATGGCCATTCTGATTTCTTCGGTCGTTGGTGGATTGACATCTATAGGAAGATCTGTGTGTGCTGCTTCGATGTCCGGTGGATTCATTGGAGCCGGCCTGTTCAGGAGTTCCTCGAAGTACTCTGCCCATCTGTTGCGCTGTTGTTGAATCAGTGATTGGTCTTCCTTCTTTGTCTTTGACTGGTCTCTCTGGTTTACTGTATTTACCTGCAAGCTTCTTCGTCGTATCGTAAAGCTGTCTCATATTTCCTTCTCTTACAGCTTTCTCCACCGTCGTTGCGAGTTCTTCCACGTATTTCTGCTTGTCGGCTCTAATGCCCTTCTTCACTTTCTTGTTTGCTTCTATGTACTCAGCTTGTGTTTGGACTTTCTCTGCTCTTGTTCGACTGTTGTTAATTGTTGTCTTCTTGTTCTTTCTTTCTTTGATCCTGTCCAGTGTTTCTGTAGAGATCCATTCCTTGTGATGATGCTTCTTGGGGCCCAGAACCTCTTGACACGTTGAAGTTATTGCTTCTTTAATACCTTTCCAGTTATCCTCCATAATAGATTCTTCTTCCTTCAGTAGATCTTGTAGGGTTTGGAACCTGTTGTGGAGGGCTATCTTGAATTCCTTGAGTTTGTCAGTATCTCGAAGGAAGGCTGTATTGAACCTTTGTAGAGCTGTTTGTCCAGTTGTCCAGTTCTTCTTTAGCTTCAGTTTCAATTTGGCCACAACCAGGTGGTGATCTGAAGCTATGTCCGCTCCTCTCCTGGTTTTCACATCTTCCATTGTCCTTCGGAACTTTTTATTGATACAAATATGATCTATCTGGTTCTCTGTGGTGTGGTCCGGTGAGATCCATGTAGCTTTGTGTATACGTTTGTGTGGAAATATTGTGCCGCCTATGACCAATTTATTGAATGCACACAGATTTGCAAATCTTTCCCCGTTTTCGTTCCTCTCTCCCAGTCCATGTAGTCCCATGATATCTTCATATCCGATGTTGTCTATTCCGACTTTGGCGTTTAGATCTCTCATCAGAATGGTGAAGTCTTTTCTTGGGCACTTTTCTATGATTGATTGCAATCTCTCATAGAATTGATCTTTAATGTCGTCGTTGCTATCATTGGTGGGTGCATAACATTGGATAATGTTCATTGTGATCCCCTCCTTCTTTGTTTTGAATGATGCTTTGATGATTCTGGATCCGTGAGATTCCCATCCTACAAGTGCATTTCGTGCTACTTTGGACAGCATTAGAGCAACTCCCTGAGTGTGTGGAGCATTTTCCTCTTCGTGACCGGAGTATAGCAGCATCTCTCCCGTATTTAGCCTTTGTTGTCCAGCTTGGGTCCAATGGGTTTCACTGATTCCCAGTACTGCCAAGTTGTATCTCCTCATTTCCGTTGCTATTTGACTGGTCTTCCCGGTCTCCCACATTGTCCGGACGTTCCATATACCTATAAAAATTGTTGCTCTGGTTGTTAGAAAGGGCATCGGCCTCGTGGCTTCCGAAGGAACTCGGCTTTCACCATGAGGCGTCATATTTCTTCTAAATGAAGACCTTCTAACTCCCAGGGCAGAGTTTAAATGGTTTGAGTTATTTTTTCTGGTTAGCGTTTTTTAGCGAGTTAGTTTTCTACGGGATGGGGTCGCTAACCCCATGCCCAACCCTCTTCCTTTATCCAGGCTTGGGACCAGCAGTAGCCCCCCGAAAGGGACTCCAGGCGGAGTTACCCTGATAACTGCTATTAAATAAATCCCAACGGTGTATGAATTCAGAAGGCAATACGAAGCGGCGACGACAGTTTATTTGCGGATAGCACAGATAACATAGTTACAAGCACATCGAGCGAATTGGCGCAAAGTGGGTAATGCGCGCGAGCAAGGGAATACATTTCAAATTGACCAATCTCTTTCAACTGTATTTATTCCATTCTTAGTTTCTTGTTATTTTTTGAATATCTTTTTAGTAAGTATTTGAATATGATTTGGATATTACATGTCCAAAATACCTCGATTATGTTAATATTTAATTACATCACTGGAAAAGTATTAGTCGCTCTCATTTTTATAGGGTATTGGTTGTGTATACATCGACTTTTGGATAGCTACAAGATATATATATATATATATATATATATATATATATATATATATATATATATATACTCTATTTTAGAAATAATTTACAACCGATTAGTCACTGAGTGGTAGTGATTAGTGTTATGTTTGCTTAGTCCTTTAAGTGTTGAACGAATTCTATCGATCAATTAATACTGTAGCTGTAAATGTTAGTGACTCGACGTTGATATGTTAGGTGGTTGGATGTAGATAGTCGGATCGTGATGCGGATTTACCTAGGTGTGGTTTCATTTGACATTGGTGCATGAAATCTTGAATGAATTGATTCTACATACTGTTTTCAATCAAAAATTAACATTTCCTCCTCTTGGAATTGATTTTAATAGTCGGTTGACATCAGTTGGCGATTTTATTTTCCGAAGTTCCGAAACTAACTACTACTGAATTCAATAATTTTTGTACCAGTCTTCTTTTTCTCTCTTTGTATGTATGCATTCTTCTTCTACTTGTTTTCTTTCTCATTAGTGTATCTGAATATTCTAATGAGAATATGATGGATGCATACAATTTGGCTATTTGTTTTGGTCCAACATTAATCCCTATTCCAAGTGAATATAATCAATTACATTGTCAATCAAGTGTTATTGATTTAATCAAACTACTCATTGTACATCATTTAGTAATCTTTGATCATATGCTGCCTGGGCCTGTGTATACCAAGAATAAGTATAATATTAGCAATAATAAAACTACAAGTCATAAATCTGTGACCAGTTTAGATTCACATCGTCTATCACTTTCGTCAAATAATGCTATCGAGATAAGTACAGACAAACAAAATATTAAGGATGATAGTAGTAATTCATTCAAACAAAACTTACATAATACATGTCAATTTTCAATGGACTTAAATATTAAACACCAATCAACTTCACATTTGGATCATGTACAGAGTAATAATAATAATAATATTTCACCCGCGGAATGTGGTAAAGCATCAAGTGTTGGGTAAGATTTCTTATCAAATTCTGTTTAGAATTGATATTTCATGTTACATTTTGATCAGTTGTTCCTTATGATGTATAAATCAGACATTTGTTCCATGCTTTTCCTAAGGTTTTTCTCTTTGATTCGAATTTCCTAGGATCACTTACAGATTTTGAATATATATTCTATTATTACCTACTGAAATTACTCTTTTATGTTAGTAATAAAATTGCGTCGTTATTCATGAAGAACTTGTAAAAGTTGACCTCTATTGTTTACCAAGCTAACATACATAGTGTAGAATATTAGGGTATTTTATTTGATCGTCCACATTATATATTGATGACTTTTTCACTCATCACCTCTACTCCATTGCTTATTCAAAAGTTCAAATAATGATTAGCAATTACGTTTAATTAATAAATGCTGTTGATAGTAATCTGATAATTTATAATATTTGAATATTGTAAAACTTTATTTATCAAGTACAAATTCATGTGCTTAACTTTGAGTCATACTTTATAATATGCAAACTATATTTATTACACAACTATTCAAACCGAGGTCGATGAAACAAAGGTCGAACTTGTAGCCTAGTGATTAGAAGTTAAGAGCTTTAACCTAGTAATAGTAATCCATTGCTTCACTTATATTAGACTTGTATTTCTAGTTTTCGTTCATTTGAATAATTTAACTTTCTTCCTCTTTAATTTCATTAACATTTTAATTAGTAACCAATATTCATTTGTACATAGTTCCATTTTAATTATTAATTATCTCTCTTTTTTAAAATAATTTTCTTGTATATTATAACAACAACGAAAAACGAGATTAATTTTAATTATTGAAAGATATCGTTGTTGTTTTAATGATCATTATTTTTAATAATTTTCACTTTTCCGTCCATTGTAATGTCTTTATTTCTCAACATACTACAATGATTAATGACTTTTTCCAAGAAAAAAAACAGGAACGAGAATCGACTAATATTCAGAAAGAAGTGCCTTTCTCTATTTTAACGTTATTGTCTAAAAAGTAAAAATTATCATTTTGTGTTTTTTTTGTTCAATAAAATATAGCAGTCTAATTGACAATGAGACATTATCTTCGTCTAAGCAAAATGAAACTGTTGGAGATGATGACTACGTATTTTCTGAAGATGTCCAATCCATATCTGATAGTGAAGGTTTGTTTCTATTTGTTTTATTTTATATGTCGATAATACGATTGATAGTGATGTTTCAATTATAAACTATACCACCTTCATGTAACGTTTTTTTATGAATTCATCGTTTTTTTTTGTGTGAGTGGTTTAGATATACTATGACTTAATAATACCAATGTATGGTTATAATTTATGTATATTCAATCTCTATCTATGTTCAATTTTAATTTAATGGCATAGTTTCACCAAGATAGAAACAATCTTATGTTATATGTAATTTATATGTAGCATTTATGTACAAGAATGTATACGCTTAAATAGTACACTTTATTAAAACATGAAATGTAACTTTTTTGTACTCTGTAGAGACAAACATTTCTGCCTTAAAAGAATCACTATTCACTTTTAATATATACTCACTTTAATAGTTACTTGCATAATTGAATTTTTTATGCATTTGGTATTTTATTTCATAACTGGTCTTGGAGTTTATATAAATTATTCACAATATTGGATGATACGAAAACTATTTCATACTAAGTAACCAATTTAGGTAGAGTTGTATTCGAGCTATAATATAAATAACTGATGACGGTTTCATTTGTCAAGCGATAAGGTAGCTGTTGTATTATTTGTAACCTCAGAAGTGATTGGTACAGTACAATAACTGTATAGAAGATGGTAATAATAGAATAGTTATTGAATATTTATGTACTAAACAGAAGTTTCGTGTTTCTTTCTTGTTATTATAATAATTAATATGACATGCCCCGTATGCGAATGGTAGGAAATCGTTTTTTTTAGCGATAATCCACTAGACCGACATCGAGAGGTGCATTACCATGACTACTGTTGGCCAAATTACATTTTTATATCGCTTCTCCTTTTCAGATCTTAGAGTCTGTTTGCGTCGCTGGTTTGTAATTGACTTTTCCAACACTTTCAAGTTAACTGTTTATATCTCATTACCAGAGGAGGTCAGATTATAGATATTTTTTGTATACTAAACCGCACAACCAAAATCACCTTAATTGGTTTTGGTATTTAGATATTTTAGTCTACATGAATAGCAAGTTAGATTGCTAAATGTAAATGACTACATTAATTTATTTCCAAGGTATTCCCCTAGAGAGTTAGTTACTGTTTAGGTTGAAGTATTTCCTGATGAACTACTTTTTCATTTTAAGGTATTTTTAAACAAACATATCTTTTATAGTTTTATATATTTATATATACATATATTTAAAAAAAACAGATTCCGAACCAGCGTACACTTTAGCTGTTGCTCGAGCAGATTTTACTGGATCAAGTGAACGGGAATTGTCATTTCATCAAAGCGATGAGATTTTTCTTTATCGTCAATTAAGTCAACATTGGTGGGAAGGACAATTAGCTTCAGATTCGAGTTGTAAACGTGGCCTAATACCACATTTATATGTTGTACCCAAAGCTGCTCTATTACACCTTGCAGCATGTGAAGATGATAATCGTAGCAATGAAAATCAACTGTTAAATGAAATGACTATCGATCTTTCTAAAAAGAGTGGATATACAGCAATTGATGGAAGTTTAACTAATTTAGATCATGTCGATGCTGTTAATAATAATGATGATGATAATAAAAGTGTAACAGAAAATGGTAGTGTACTCAGTTGGAATTGTCCTTCTGAAAGTTCAAACGAAAATATTCTTTCTGATACTAATGATAGTAAAGTGCATCATTTATCACAATCTGAAACTCCAATTTCAATAGTTGACAAATCAAATCAATCAGAAAGCATAACTTTGTCTAAAACTATTCACGATAGTTCTATTCTGAAAGGGACTTCTTCAATGATTGAGATTTCTGATAAAGGTAAAATATTTTATGTAATTGCGTAGTTATCACTTTGTTATCAATCTCTTATTGTAACCGATAGAACAATATACATCCATACATTTTCTTTCTATTCTACTGCTTCTACTCCATCTGCCAACACGTATTGAGGTAGATAGTGATTGACTCAGTAGATTTGTAGTTCATACTGTAACCATCTCATTTGATGCAAAAGTTTCATTTGAGTTGGAAGTAATGAAGTATGTAGACTAAAATCATGTGTATACATAAAATTATGAGATTAGATAATTGAATGTATTTGACCATATAAATCTATGAAGTATCTTTTGCCGCCTTTAATGGAACCACCAAATGAGTTATGCTGAGTTTAAAGTCACGACGTGCCAGGGACGAAGAGGATTGTGTTAGACTTTCATCGACCGAGGTAGTTATAATCCCACATGTTTCTTCTCAGTCAGTCAGTCAGTCAGTAACAACATGGAACTTCGTACGTACGTACGTACATCAGTTCGAGTTGCCATACCACATTAGCACAGAGATTCAGTAATCGATTCAAATCCAGTAGTAGTAGAGGTAATGATAGGGAACATTAGGGTTTGATGATGTTATTTAAGGAGTATAGTCCAGTGGAATAGATTTGGAAAGAAAACAAAAGACATGAAGAATACAGAAGATTAGAGTTTGAGAGAACACAAAGAGTGGATGCACCTGCGCCATTGCAAACGATTTTGAGCCATATCATTCAAGGTCTCTAACCATCGGTTGCAATCATCTCGCGGTCCCCAAACAGGTAGTCTACACCTACCAACATGGCTCAGTTCACTTGTCAGTGACTTCATGGATTTGTGCCATGTTTTGGTCTGGTCGCCCCTAGCTTTCTTCCAACCTACTCCTACACCATAAAACATCGCACGTCCGGGCAGTCGGTGGTCAGGCATACGCGACACATGTCCCAGCCATCTCAACTGATTAAAATTCACTACTTCATCAATTTATTTGCCATCCTTACCTAGGACCCATTTCCTAACAACTGCATTACTTACTCAGTGGTCCCAGGATATACGAGCAATGTTTTGAAGCAACCTATCATCAAATACTAGTAACCTACGAATATCCTCTACTCTTACTGGCCATGTTTCACTGCCATAAAGTAGGACGCAACGAACTGCTGCGCAGTAAACCCGTCCTTTGGTTGATAGACGGATATCTTGCCTACGCCACAAATGACGCAAGTTGGCAAAAGCTAGTCGAGCCTTCTGTATCCGTGCTGAGATTTCGTCACACACCAGACCACAAAGGCTGATCAGACTTCCAAGATAAGTGAAGCGGTCGACACACCCAACTACTTCACTCCCTATCACTAGTTCGGGTGTCGATGCCACCCAATCGTGAAGCAACATTTTGCATTTCGAGGGAGAGAATCGCATGCCGAACATGCCTGCATTGTTGCTTAGAGTGGTCAGCAGACTCTGTATTTTGTCAGCGTCCTCACTAAATAGAACTATGTCATCGGCATATTCGAAGTCAACAAGTGGGTCTCCCGGTAGAAGTTCAAACCCTGGAAAGTCAGATGTGGAAAGAGTTATCTCTAAAAGCACTTCAATGATAAAGTTAAACAAGAATGGAGAGAGCTGACAGCCCTGACGAACACCACTTGAGGCAATCAATTCTGATGACAGTTCGCCATAAGCTCACACTCGACCAGTTGTGTTCGAGTAGAGAGCCATTATAAGGTTAATGTACTTCTTTGGTACTCCCTTCAGTGACAAACACTGCCATAGAACCTCACGATCAACTGAGTCAAATGCCGCCTTAAGGTCGAGAAACTCATGTTTCTTTTAAATCTAGTTATTATTTTTTTTTACTTCCATTATTTTTGGTATTATTTTCAATCTATGTTTTCCATCTCGTTAATTTCTTTTCAATATACTGATGTGATATGTGGAAACCTGGACCGATAAGCATTCATCGCAGGTTTTACATTTCTGATAACTGACTTTATTTCAATATGTGTTAAGTACTTTACTTACAACCATCGAGTTCATATTTTAAACTGCAGGTATCTAGTTAAACATGTAGTGCAGAAGGCTCATTATGCTAATAGAGTTTCATTTAGCTTCACTATTTGAATTATAGTAAAGAACACAGTTTCACTTTCTAGTGGAAAACTCGAACACCATTCCGTAATGAAGAAATGATAATACCTGTGTATCGACTCATTGCAAAACACGTTGTTTGATTACAACAATATTACTTAAGCTAGAATGGAGTAGTCACATAGAGTTAGATTTTACAATAATTATAACAAGTAGCTGAATGGTTCACTTCCCATCGATTTTAATGTATTATTTCATACTTTATTTTTTGTTTTAAAATCCAGGTGTAAAATCGACTATTTGTAAAGAAAGTCCAAATAGTACATCAGAATCTCCCGAATCTAAAGATAAAAAGTCTTTACCAGAATTTGGTTATTCAGATAAACTTGTGATGCATCGGTTTAATCATCGTTATACTATTAGTTATCCAGCCTTTGGGCCTTTAGGTTCTGTTCCTGAAAATGAAGTTATATCACCCAGTGATTTAACTCCATCATCTCCTGCGTATAGTTTAAATGAAGCGAATAATCGTTGCCAATCTGTAGGCGAAGGAAGCTCTCGATTTTTGTTTAATTCCGATGTCGATACAGCTTTAGAAGAGGTAAGTTTTTATTCAAAAAATTGATCATAATAATTTTGCCAGTTTGTTCAGAATAACTGTCTGCTTAAATATATTGCCTTTTTTCGGCAAAATCTTTTGTTAATTCCTCTCGCTCTCATTAATTAATATCTACCTGGTCTTATAGTGAATTGAATGTTTAAATATTCAACTATAATTATTTTGTTGTGGTTATCAACCACTGAAGTTCGTTGACCAGCAGTGACCTAGTAGGTAAACCAGTTACCTTACAATCAAGTTGGTTGCATTTTCGAACTCCGTTTGACCTACTTCAAATAGGGAGACCAAGTAGTATATCTGGCCTTTATACTTTAAGGAAATGAGTTTATTGATGTTTGAAACAGCAGTAATGACTCGTGTAATACTGAGTTTGAAAACATTTTTATCTCTACGGTACTTTTTCAACTTTGGAACTTCGTTCATCGTAAAGAACTAAATTTTCTGTTGTCATGAAATTTAAATGTTCATCACCTTATTGTACAATATCTTTATTCAAATTGGGATTTATTAATATCAACTTACTTCACTCATCATACATACCGAGTAACCGTTTTATAAATTTATCACCTCTGTCTTCTTCAAATAGTTTTAGGTTCTTTTTACTAAAATGAGTTGACCAGACTGTTGTGATTAATATTGATACAGTGCTATTTGGGAACCAGGGTTTACATTCAGAAGGGATGTGACATGTTGATTTGCTATTTCTGTTTATGACTAAAATTATAATACTTGTTGTCGGTACAAATTACATGGTTAGTAGTTCGATGCTTATGGTAACCTGGCGGGATTCATTCATTTTAATTGTCTGGGTCAGTTGGTTAGATCAGTTTATGCACGTATTTTTAACGACTGAGATTGATGTTAACCCAATTTCTGATTTTCTGCGTACCTAAAACTTTGATGCCAGGCATTTAAGTCCAGAACATGTATTGCTCATATTATACACCAACACCCATCTTTGAAATATCACAACTTTCAATCACTTGGTACAGTTTTTACAGTATTTAAACCGGTTCAAATTCAACATTTGTCACAGGGTATGGTTTGATAGGAAACGTTATTGACTGACTCCCATATGAGGCTAATCATATAGAAGTTGATGTCTTGAATTTTACAGGCGATCGACCAACTTTAAGTAGTCTGAATTAATTTAACTGCGTGGAGATTGATGACTGAGACTGGTTTTTTAAAATTTGTATGATCTTTGGTGCTACTTAAAGTTTATTCAAGTAGTCAGAAATGCTAAGTCTAATTTTTTAAGTCTTCAGATTTACGTTTTCACATTGTTTTCAGTCTCATATTAACCTTACACATGAAATCGACACCATCTCACCCTATTGTCCTAAATATCCACTTACTATGCTGATGTTTTACTGCTGTGATTGTTCGTTACTATTTTAATGTGTATAAATTGAGTTGTTTAAAATGAACTAATACTTATTAGATTCTTTTTACGTCATACAAACATTATTCAACCATTATATATACGTCGTATATGCACTGTGAAATTCACTTATCAGTTTTAAGATTAAGTAACACAGCGACCACAGTTTTATATGAACTACTAGGGCTCATATATCGTAAAACATGTATTGTTTGCTTTGTATTTAAAGATCACGCAGTAGCAAGGTGGTAGATCAAAGCTTTATACTTAGGACCGTAGTTAGAACACGACTTTTTTCATGTACTATTTTTAAGAAACTTGATAAAGCATTAAGCATGGATGATTCTATCGTTTTTTAATAATTAACGTGACTGTCAGGATTTCTGAGTGTTTAATTGTTCCAAAATTACTTTCGTAGATGCAATTTTCTCAGATAGTGATTAATAATTTCAAGGTTGGTTGTGATCATATTATCATTTTTTAACATTTCAACTTATCTTTGATCAAGGTTATGCGTGGTTTAGCTTCTTTGGAACAAGCAGACAACCGCAATAGTGATTCTAGAACTCTGGAACGCAACCAAGAACTGACTCGTAAGCTTTGCTTACCTAGCGCGAAACATGCTCCAGATTTAGTCATGGATCTTCCCATTTCAACAGATTCTAAGGTGCAAAAATGTACACCATCTCCCAGTTGCACTCACGAAGAGTCGTCTGACAGTTTTGCTGAACATTTCGCCGAACAAACTTTGAATACAATGCGAAAGCGCTCTGAAACCCAATCATCACCACAATCGTCAGTAACTTCAAGCCAATGTCCTGCCAGTGACGGTGGTAACTCAAGCTATGGAGAACTTGGCAAAGTTATTCTACGAAGTAGATCTAATCATACAGTTCAATCGGTAGAAGTTCCTAAAAGCTTACCCCGTTTGAATAGAGCAAGTTCCGAAGAAAAAAAGCATGAAATACCACAGACTGTCGATGAACAACTGACTAGTGAACCGAAACTTTCAATCGCTGCTCGAGTAGCAGCTTTCGAAGCAACTAAATCTGATTCATCTGGTTCTTCCATAAACTTTGCTCCAAAATTAGCTCCTAAACCTAAAAGAAGTTAATTTTGTTGTTTTTACTTAATTCTTGTTTAATTGATGCTCAGCATTTATCACTTTTCAGTTTATTATTCGAGGTGATTTGTATAACCAATATGATAAATATGTAATTGCTTCAATAACCCTATAATCTGATGATGAATTTTCCAGTTTTTATCCGTTGGAATATTGTATGCCCAATATATATATATATATATATATATATATATATATATATATATATACAGTGCTTCCTTTCTTCCTTAAGATTTCCATCAAATTCTTCATTATTCTGCCAGTTTTTCTCTCAATAAAATTATTTCCTTTGAATTGATTTTCATTCTTAAATTTGGTAATACATAACTTTTACATTGATGAAAACACAATGATTTTAGAAATAATGTGTTTTATACACTGTTAATATTTTTAATTTTTTTAAATAAAAAAATACGAGTAGACACTACGTATTCGTTTTGATCTCTCGAAATATTTTTATTTCTGTAGTGTGAAATTCTTTGCGTATGGTTGGCGTTTTCTGATATCTTTAATAGTAGTAGTAATAATAATAATAATTAATAAACAGTTCTATGTGTCATACGTACTCCTATGACCAGATCTTAATACTCCATTTCGAAGTGTAAATGCATCACTGATACTTTTGATTTTATCGTTTAACCGGATTTCAATTTCTTTCTTTACTATACATGTTTTCTGTTTTTTCCTTCGTTTATTCTACTTTTGAAGGTGTACACATAATATTTATCTATGTACTACTTGGCTCAATATTTAGTTTTACTGTAATTTTTTGCATCTGCAGCTTTTATTTTTCGTGCTAACTTTTTTTTCCTATTATGTTGATCCCTAGTTGTTAGCTTTCAATGTAATTTTTAAAGGTTAATGTGACGCTGGTTAAATTAGGGGTATTGTCTAGTTCTATTTGTTGTCAACAAAAGACTACTATCAATTGTAAACATTCATATGCATATGCGAATGTGAGATATTGTAGTGTTATTACCTATCCCGGTATTCCAATTTTATTTTGTTTTAGTCTTACGCGCATGTATGTACACTTACATAAGATTATTGATGTACTTCCTTTAAAACTACTTCTACATTGAGTGTTTTGAGTTGTTATGCAAAATTTTACGCATATTGACTCGGTTTTATATTATTTCTGCTTATAATTAAATGTGAAAACAAAAAGGGCTTCCAGGCATCAAATAACTGTCCACTTACCCATTGTGTGGTGTTATTAGTGAAAATAAGCGTTTAAATCTTTGTCTCATTAGTTTAGAATAAATTACCTGGAATCCTTGTTGGAAAAACGTTTTATGTAAGTTAAGAGCGAATGCGAACTACTTGCATTAAGCAAAATTTTTGTTATAATTATGAAGTTGAGAAATGTTATTCATTCAATCAATAGCAACATAATAATCCAGACAACCGTAGAATCACTTGTAGAAAGAATTGGTGATACGGACTCATGAAAGGTCCCAAGCTGTTAACAGAAGAGTGGCTGTTCTACTTGAACTTGGTGTTTTTACTTCTACTAATCTTTTTAAAGTAAAAAAATCAATTTGCTGTAGAACCCTAAACTATGATGGAATAGCTGTCTACTTCTTAATAGCTATTGGGGTGATGTTAGTTTGGCTTTTCATCGAACTGAATAATGACTTCGTGATCAAAGATTAGCTTAAGTTCTGGAAAATCGTTAGCCATAGATTAAACGGAATGTGCAATAATTAACTGCATAAGGAAACGTGGCTCAGTTATAGATATTATATGGTCAATAAGTATAACTGACTGATAAGTGTTGAGTTTTTAGTGTAACAGCACTAGGTTCATGTACTTAACTTCAGACCATATAGTAAAAGTTAAATAGACATTACTCATAGGATTTCTCGGTGGTAGGATAAAGCATGTCGTAGGACGAAAATTCGAGTCATAAATGGCTTATGAGTAAATGACTCCAAGAGCGATGATTTTTAGCAAGTTCTGACTGAGTTTTACAAAGTCGTATTTTTAAATAGACCCAGTCATTCTTCAAAATTAACACTTACAGTTATCAGTATGTAAGGTAGGAAAGTTTTTATGTATGCTGCAAATCGGTTAGAATAACCATATTGAACAATTTATGTTATTGTTAAGCCGATCGGGACATATCACTCAATTACTTTTCCACTGTAATGTTGGGTTGCACAAAAACGTACATGAAATGTGACATTTCCGCTAAATATTCATTTTTCACAGACCATTATCTTTCGATATTTCACGGCTCACTGAGATATCAAGTTCTGGAGAGAGGCATACTCACTGTTGATTTATGTACTAACAGTACACATCCGTCCATGTTATCGTATTAATCAGCTCAATAAAAGAAATTTCGTTCAGAAATATATACAAAAAGAACCTGCCAATGGATTTCGTACAGACTAGAACAATATTGCGTTTATCTACCGGTTTAGCACAGTTCACTATATCTTCTGAATAAGAAGTGTTTAGACTTTACGAATGAATGTTTTACGCTACATACTTAATAAAAACGAAAATATCATTTTGGGCCATCATTCACTCTGATTAGAACATTAGATTAGGTACAATACAATTGATATGACCAAGTTTAATTCTGGAAAATATTACCATTCAATAATTATAAACATATATTTACAAACACTGTACAAAAAACATAATCAAGATGAGTCACCCATGTCAGTTTCTGATGTCATAACAACATATTCACGTGTTGAGAAACCAAACTTGATTACATCTTTTTCAAGGAGCTCATAGTAACGACGAGATTCTATTCTGTTATTGTTCAAATAAGTACCGTTTGCTGACTCTAAATCGATAATATACAAGCGAATCAGGCCACGAACCTGAATAGAAGAATAAATGTACAGTAAGATACAGAGAAATAACAACTGGTAACTTACAATTCTGGTTTTTTTTGCTTTACTGTCTGCATGCGCTAACCACAAAGTACTCAGTCACCTTTGAGAAAGCTTACAACTAGTTGCTAATCAAATACTAAAAACTGGCAGAAGAACCAGTGGTTGGTTCATCCTTTTACCTGTGTGTTGGATAAATGGAAGGGGGCTGCACCGAAATTCATGGATTAAACAAATATGCAATGGAAAATTCAAGTGAAGAAAAAGTCTCCATTGTAACTGGAAGTATCATACTATGATTATTGTCATTATTATCACCCTTATCATGCAGCTGCAGAGAAACGACGAACATAACAAAGTGACATTCCAAATCAATATTTTTAAAATCTATTTATCTATGACTGATGTGCAACAAATAAACATGAAACTTACTGCTATCTGGTCTTACGAACAGCTTTTAACTCGTACTCTATAGCACGCAGCTGGCATCTGCTAACTTGTTTTACTTCAGTATGTTGAGACAGCTAAATATCGAAATTACACAGAAGGAAAGTTCCTTATATTTTATGTTCTCACCTTGGTTTATAACTCTAAACCTACTTTTTTTTAAATGAACTACAAGCTTATGCTTTTAGAATAAAAAGGAGTTTATGCATAAACTGCATCAACTAGAAGGCACAAAAAATCAAATGCGAAACAAATGACGGCAAGTGCTAAGTAGTAGTTCTTACTAATGATTTCGACTTTACATTTTACGTGTGCCGTCGTTAAGTATTTTTATCACTTTAGGAAAGTTCTGTTTTCTTTTACCGAAAATTAAGGCGATTTGTAGTATTCTGTTTGAAATTCAAAAGGTAACTAAAAATTATATTGACCGACTGCTTTATTTATTGCTCACAACAGAAGTATCTAGCAAAACAGGGCACCAAGAAATGCATCATCATTAATGCTAAACTTTTAACTTACAAGTCTATACTGCAAAACAGCATGCTGTTTTGAAATACTTGGATGATCCATAGGAATGTCTGCAATTTTTCGATCGCGGCCAATTAAGAATCCACTTTGTCTATGTATATGCAGTACGGATAATGTTTTATTTCCCTTGAAAGCATACAATCTCCAATGTGTGGTGGGTTTTCTAGCATCTTCTGGTTCATTGTATTTTATCACAACACCTTTAAAAACATTTGTGTCCTCCGCAAGTTTGCCTTTCAAACAGGAAAAAGGGAAACGACGAAATGAAACGGGAACAGAAACAAATGTACAGCTACTACGTCTAGTAATGGTCCAGTTTGACTGGAAAAGGTCTTGTTAACTGGAATGTCAGGCAATAATTTTAATATTTGTGTTTATGGCCAAATTTTGATACATTAACTGAAATGGCGTACAATTGTTTTTTTCAGAAGTGGTTTGTATATTCTTACAACTATAACACAGGAACTAAGCAAATATATTCCATTTACCTACGATTGAAGTAGTACATTCATCATCATTACAAAAATATGAAATCAACTAGTATCTGACGGGTTTGCAGAAGTTGATAGCTTGAGCCAATTATGACACATTTGACGAATCCAAACGCTTATCAAGGATTTAGTCACAAGCTCCATGTTATGTTTTGTGAGTAGGCTTCGACAAGCAATGTAGGAAAACTAAGTAATAAATCACGTGGGCCCAGATAGTATTTCAAGTGGCTGGAAGTATTCAAAGTAAGTCCAGTTAGTTCCTGGACCATTGGTAATATCTGCAAACGACCTCAAGGACAGTGGAAATATGTATCTTTAGAATTAACGAAAATGCTGGCACCATTGGTGTAGACACATTCATAACCTGTTTCTTGGTAAATTTTGAGCACTGTGTTTTCACATACTGCTTCGCTAAAATAATGAACCAATGCAATGACGTGTCATATTGTCATTTATTCATCACCTCGATACGCTATGAGACCTGGTTCTAGAATGACAAATAAAGTCACCGGCAGATATCCAGCTGACAGATGTATGACGAAAGTGGGTTCAAACTACTTAACAGACAGACAATTTAATTAACTAATGGACACCTCTACATAACTAACTTTCTAACTAATATTAATGGATGATTTCAAAAGCTAGAAAATCTTTCAATAAAGAATATTTAAATAAGTAGTTCGCCATGCGGTAAAAAGAAGCTACCTAAACACAAATACAAAGTTTGCATGTTTTGACTAGAAATTACCAGTAGTTTGATCTTATAAATAAGTGGATTTACGAAGGGAATAAATGTGGTGCAGTTACTCTTTCAGATTGTCCTGTATACTGAATTACCAGAAAATTTTTTTAACCGCCAGGCTGATGACGCGACTTATCTAGCAACAATTTATCGAGAACAGTGGCCAAATTATTTAAATCATATCTCTGTATAGGAAGTTGGTGTACACCCAACACTATAAGTTGAAATATTAAGCACAGCAAGAAAATGTACCTGATAACTCAAAATTGGCTTTTTGTTTAATAACGGGACCAGGGTTTCCTTCTAATAATCCGCTTTTCCCGAGATTAGGTTTGGATTCAGAAATATCTTCACTATCCCTTAAGATAACGGGGGAACTAACCCTTCCACTTCTTCGAGGAGACCTAGCCTTCAATATTATAGGATCATTTAGTCTTCGTTTATGAGGCGGGCTGCAGGATCCACGAGGCTCTATCTTGATTTTGACATGGGTAAGTTGGTGGGGCCGTTTATTGCTATAGTGCCGTGAAAGATTTTCGGTGCGCGTAAACTCCTTATCGTCTTTTTCAACGGTGTCTTTTATTTTGTGTTTATGTTTGTGCTTGGTTTTAGATTTTTTGTGTTGCGAATCTTTTGGAGGAGACACTCCCATGAAGGTCGAAGTCAAATTTACCGTCAAGGCTCTCTCATTCATTCCTCAATACCTCGATATGTGCCTCATTTTCAAAGAACCAGAAAACGTATTGTCGAATCATGCTTGTCAATTTTTCCATGAATTCGAAAAAAATGCGTAAACTGCACTCAGATCAGTGAATACAGTCATTTAACAGCATCGGTACCAGTGGACCTAAAGGATTACTAGAAGTTGGTTCAGAAAGCTTGTAGAATGTGAATTCAGATAACGATATAACTGCAAATAATCTTTTAATTATACAAATTTTTTTGGATTTTAGTGATAAAACAGCCACTCCTCGATGAAGTTATTTGCAACGAGTATTAGTACTTAAAAACATAAACGTTCTCGTACAACTAGTAACTGGAAACTTTTAGTGGTGCAGAGAGAACCGTTCTTGTTCCTCTACGTTTCTACTTATTTTGCGTCATAATATCTGTTAAAAAGGCCGATAGTTGTGTAGATAAGTCAGTGATGTTAGTCTTACCATGGAATTTAACATGTTACAACCGAACCATTTTGGCGAATACCCCATACATGATGTGAGGATTATCATGTGTTTACCTTAGTCGGGTTGAAATTAAGTTATATGGCTATTGGTAACCGATTAAAGTCTGGTGGATTTAACAAGTTCATCATCTTGCTAGAAACTCAAGGGATTTGATTCACAGAAGTGACTTATATAAAGATTATTTTTCTTATGGGGTTTATTAGATATCCGAGTTAGGGGGAATTCGACAACTCAATAGTTGTGAATCTCAAGAACAGAACTTGTTGTGCGGTGAGTTAAGGGATGGTGCTGATAGTGTGTGGTTAATGAAGAAGTGACCATCTATAGTACATAGGAAGTAACAAACAAGGTCATGTATTTATAACAATTTCTAACTTGATTTGTTACACCCCAATCCGATATCATGAAGCTACTTATTTACAAGTGCCAGTAATTATCCACTGCTGTATTACTTTCCAACTAATGGACAGAATGAATCACGGTATTCGTGCTAGATGATCATTACTTTGGATATTATTAAACGCTTAATTCGATTAGAAAATATAATAGCAACGAGAGTATCTACTTTATTCTTTCTGATTTGAGTGCTGATTCATTCGTGACTAATGGAATATGCATTAGACAGTCCTGGGAATTAAGAGTTAGTACATTATATCCAGTTCTATTAATTCTACATGAATCCATCACAATGTTTGTTGAAACTCGCAGGCCGCAATGTACCATCATCACTAGTTTTTAACTTGAAGATTCAGTAGGCAGAACTAGCAATTTATTCCTCTAAATGACAGGAAAAAATTCCTGGTTAGAGGGAGATATCAATGTAAAATTAATTAGTCTTTAACGGCCAAGGTGGTCAAGAAGTAACACTTAGAGTCAACACTTCGGCTACGACGGGGATAAATTAAGTATCTGCCCACTTTTGATGGATTTCCGTCACTCTCTACAAACGTATTATCCTAACCACATAAGCTACTGTTTTTTCTTGCTCTGTCCCAACGCTAGATATTTTTTAGAATGTGCTTTGATACTGGACCGCACTTCTGGTTTGCTTGTTCGAAGACGTTGGGGATAGATACAACACATCTCCAAGTACTTTATACTGCTCTGGTCGCAGGTTTAAACCTTACTGGAAAGCTGAGTTATTATTTAGTCCTAGTACCTTTTAAAATTCTTCTATTCAAATGCGTTCTAGGAGGGCAATGTCGTTTTCACAGTAACGTTATGCGGTGCAGGATATTTTAAATATGAGATGTTATGCAAACACCACATCGTTTCAAAATAGTTTTGAGGTCAAAGACCATGAACTTCTTGAGGGAAGCTCAAAGCAGGCAGAATAAGTGTCCATTAATTGGTATCCCATCCGTTTTAGATTGTCCAGATTTGTGTAGTATTAAGCATTTTTAAACATCCACCTGTTGAATAGATGGACGGAAGCTGCAGACTGGGGCACAACGCTCATATGGCATTCCATTTCAAACCATAACGCTTACTTTCTTTGCTTTTTCAACACAGCAAGCTGGGATGTGTCACACTAGCGAGTTCATATTGGGTCTATGTAGATAGCTAGTACATAGTTTCGTCTTGAAAACCACCTTTATTTATTAGGATCAAGTTGATGCCATAGTGTTGAGATCACTAAAAATATTATATATTTAACTAATCAGTTGTTGATTCTTCACGTACCAAATTTGTCAATAAAGTAAAATATTGCATACCAATCATACAGCATAAATATTTCTCAAAATATAATCATTAGGTGTCAATTATTCAATAGTACACAGTTTCAGCTTTAAAAACACTTTCATTTTTTATTACTACTTGGTGGATTAAAAACCCCTAAAGTTATATCATTTTAACTCAAATTTTGGGTAAACTATTATAAAATGCAAAATATGATATTTTGAATATAACAAAATTGGCAATGCCCTTTAGTCCGAAGCGTATCAATCACTCAGTCATACAGTTAAATTCGTTTCCGCCGTAACATCCTCATACATTTTTAACCAGAGAGGAGTTTTGCGGGTATTATAGTAGTTTAATTTCAGAATTCACGAGTCAATCAAATCTAGACCACAGTGAAAAACCTGGAAGCACTGAACAGCCGTTTCCTTCTAGTACGAGACTCCTCAGCAGTGCGCGTCCAAGATTCGAACACAGTGCTTGTCAGTCTCACGCGTGAGATGATAACTCACTGACGAATGTGATGGACGGTGGTGAAACTTCGTGGGTTGGTTGAAGTAAGACATAAACACCGTCAGATGCCGGCTCAGTGGTCTATTAGCTAAGCGCTCGCCTGCGAGATGGATAGGTCCTGGGTTCGATTCTCACGAGGAGAGATCGTGGATGCGCACTGCTGAGGAGTCTCACATATTTTGTTTCAATAAATGCATATTTCAACTTCTGCTTTTTCAATTAAATAAATAATACTAAATTACTAAAAACACCTTTCTCTACTAATTATATAATAGCATTACAAAACATTCACTTCTTGTGCAGCCTTTTAACATTCACATTTTTCATATCACTTCTTTTAAAATCACTCAGAATTGTTGACTCAATCATTATTCTCATAGACAATAAGCTACCAATGTCGATTTTGTTGAATTGTTCAGATGCATGACATTTCTACTGATTTATCACGGTGTCTAACTGAAGTATCACTAATTTTCAACAACATCAATAACAACAAATCGACATCATTTTTCATTGATTAACTATTAATAACTACAAAATCTTCCAAAAATAATTATCATACTTCGAAAGTCAAATTCTAGTTATCTAAAATGATACTGACATTTAAACAGAGAAAACAATTCAGCCGAAAATATTACTCTTTACATCAGTATTCTTTTCTACATAATGTTTATTAATTGCAATATTAAACCAGTCTATTAATTTCTGGCAGTTTGAGATTGTATCATCAGTGAAGTGAATGACACTGTGCCAACTTATCACCAACTGATACACGAAAATGTTTTATGCAGGTCTATAGGTAACAAAACTCTGTATTTAGCACTTCAAGGGTTACTGCTGTTCCTATACCGCGTAAAAGGGTTAGATTGGGTGTGGTGTGAGCAACCACACCCTGTAGAAAGCAATTTCGCCAATGAACGCCAACCAGAGCAAACAAACTAAACGAATTTAACTCTACCCCTGTGCCAAATGATATTGCTATGCCTCACGGTGAAAGCTAAGAGTCTCTAGCAGTTTTGAGGCCAATGCTCGGTCTAACAATAACAGCAACAAACAATATATCTAGTCTTAGTGCTATATCTGGACATTTCTAAGGCCTTTGACATGGTTAACCACCAACTTCTTATAGGCAAACTTGCATCTTATGGGGTTCAAGATCCTTTGCTAGATTGGATTGAATCATTTCTCAGCAATCGACATCAAATAGTTAAAATTAACTCTTCATTGTCTAACGCTGTCCCCGTTAGAAGTGGTGTAATACAAGGTAGTGTCTTAGGCCCTTTGCTCTTTTTAGTGTTTATCAATGACATTTGCGAAAATTTTTGTGTAGGTAAGCCCCTTCTATATGCAGATGATCTTAAACTAGTATATTCATTTTCTCCACATGAGCTGGAAAATGTGCAAACTTGCATTAACTTGGAGCTTAACAAGGTAGCACAGTGGTGCTTAAAATGGCAACTGGAACTTAATACGGCTAAATGTGGATGGATATGCTTCGGCGATACATCACTTAACCTAGACCTTACCATAAATGGAGAAATGTTAACTAGGTTACATACAGTAGTAGACTTGGGACTTAGATACTCCCAAGACTTATCGCTTACAGAACAGATATCGAAACAGACCTCCAAGTCACAACGACTAGTAGGTTACATTATTCGAAACCTTCATAACAATGAATCACGAATTTTAATGTACAAAGTTTGTGTTCGACCTCTTCTAGAATATTGCACGTTTATTCTTAGCAGTGCGCGCATAAAGGATAAATTAAGGCTGGAATCAGTACAGAGACGATTTACACTTCGTATTCTTGGAGCTGATTGTTCCTTAACTTATAATTCTAGATGTAAAAAACTAGAGCTAGACCCTTTATGGAAGAGGAGACTCAAACTAAATCTTATTTTTTTCTTCAAACTACTTAATAAATTATCCTTTACATCCAATCATGTAATTCAATATGCAGAGACTCCTCATTATGAAACCCGTAATTCCTTGGCACTTGTGAAACTAACTTATTCTAAATCATCTCTTTATATGAATTACTTTGCCTGTAAATTTTCTAGACTCTGGAATAACCTACCAGAACATATCCGTACGATTAAATCACTCCCATTATTTGTACGTTGCATCGATGCATATTGCTCCTCCGAAAATGCATTGAATGCTCTAGCACCCGCAAGTGTATCTCACTCCACAAGTGTTATTATAGGAACTTTAAATGTTTAGGCATTTTTATTAGTGCATTCTCTGGATAAAACCACCTACTCGCTGTCACTTTATGTTAATACCGTCCCCAGCTAGTTTAACTAATTTGAATAT